TCAATTGGTCCATCATCTCCATTTTCAATATATGGACGCCCTCTATCGTCTATCGCAACAATGTGATCAGGTGGATTATTAATTTGTGAGATAGATGGTCCATAAAAAACTTGTGGAGAAAAATCTTGGATTAGTCTATCCATTTCATTATATATATCATTATTTTCTATAAATATAACATGTTCTGTAAATAAAGCACTATAAAAATGCATAAATGAATAAATAGACAAAATATCATAATAATAAGGAACAGCAATATAAGCTGATTGAGACGGTTTCATATTTAATTTTAAATAATATATCATTAAATAATTAGAAACAGTAAATTTTAATAAATCATTTGTAAAAACAAAACTAAGATTTTCAAGTTTACAAATTCCATATTTACTAAAAACAGTCTGGTCACAAGTGTAAATTAATAATAATATTTCAATACATTTTTGATCAAAATTAAGTTCATATAATTGTTGTGTACATTTTTGTAATATATGTTTTCTGATATTGCAATTTTTTGTGTGATACAGTATAAGATTATATTCTTGTGATAAATAACAATATACACAAGTTTTAATTCTGTTTAATTCAAAAATCATTTTTAAATATGATTAAATATGTAAAATAATGTTAATATATAATAAAATGTAATATAAAATAGTAAATATAATTTTAAAATTACAATATTAAAATATTTAAAATATAAAAATTAAAATAAAATATTAGTTATTTAAAACTCTGTCATAATTTCTAATAAATTATTGTTTGACACACGACCATCTTCAACTACTTCGTACAGTTCATCATTGTCTGTTTCTGAATCTGTAATCCAAAAAAAGCCATTCACAAAATCACTCACGTTGTTTATATTTGAAGTTAAATTTAATTTTACAATTTCCGGCAATACATTTATTAAATATTTATTGTTTATTAATATTATTTTTTCTTTTGCAATTGCAGCAAATAATTCATAATATATTTCAATAAAAATATTTGGCAGATTATAAATACTAAATTCTTCTCTTATTAAATATAATTTATTTGTTCGCACAAACTGTATAACACTATATATTTGAAGAGTAAGCGATGTTAGAAACAATTCATTTTTAAAGTCGATTAATTTATTTTTCCAAAAAAAATTATTATTATTAGAAAAACCAAAAATGTGTAATATTATTTCAAAAAATTTTTGATTTAAATTATAGTTATTTATTTTTTTAATACGACATATACAATTCAATGTATGATTTATTAATAAAACTAATGGAAATTTATTATAGCAAAATCGACATGTATTTATATCAGAATAACAAAGTGTATTAGTTTTTAGTTTTTCATATTTAATATCATTAATCAATAATTTCATTATTTTTTAAATTAGAACACTGAGCTCTAGAAAAAACGTTTTCAATATCTATGCCATCAAAATCACTGATTGTAAGAAATGGCAATATATTTAAATATTGATCTGATGGTAATACTGGAATTTGAGTTAAAACAATTCTTGACATTGCATCTGAAAAAATTAATGGTGAATAAAAATGTGAATTTTGCGAAACCAAATCAAAATGTTTATATATTTCCAATGCAAAATCTTTGATAATTACTGGAAATACAATATTAACTTTGTCGTCAAATAAAATATAATTCAATATATAGTCATTAGTGTCGTCTAATAAAAATCGGCATTTATTTTCAACCATTTTCCTGATGTCATTGAATGGATCCCAGTTATACAAAATGTCTTTCAATTGTTTTGCTGTAAATGTTTTCATTTTATCTGTAAAAATATAAAACATAAAAATTAAATGAAAATTAAAACATTTCTAAATAAAATAAAATACTTAGTTTTTGTTGTTTTTCAACCATAGCCTTCTTGAGTTTACCCAATATTAACTCGCGACAGTCTTCGATCTCAATTCCTTAATAAAATAAATAAAAAGTTTTCAAAATAAATTTATATCAATTAAAAAAATAATACATACGCATTGAAAGAGACATTATAGATAATTGAATATTTGAGCTAAAAATAAATATAAAATTAATACATAGTTTTATAAAATTAATTATAAAATAACACTTACTTTAAAATTGAAAACACAAAAATAGAAAAGCAAATTTAAAATTTGATCACAAAATAGTACAAAATGTAATACACTACTCGAAAGCTAAACTAAAACTAAACTATTTGAAAAAACGGTTGAGAAAATAGTTTCAAAAATTTGCTATCATCGTAACTATAGAAATATTTAAAGGCTAAGTGAAAACTATAGTATACCAAATTTTAAATTTGCTATACTAGCATATACTATACTATAGAAATACTTGAAAGCTAAGTGAAAACTAGTATACCAAATTTTAAATTTGCTATACTAGCATATACTATACTATAGAAATATTTTAAGGCTAAGTGAAAACTAGTATACCAAATTTTAAATTTGCTATACTAGCATATACTATACTATAGAAATATTTTAAGGCTAAGTGAAAACTAGTATACCAAATTTTAAATTTGCTATACTAGCATATACTATACTATAGAAATATTTTAAGGCTAAGTGAAAACTAGTATACCAAATTTTAAATTTGCTATACTAGCATATACTAACAATAGTTTATTTGAAATTTGCTATCTGATAGCTTTAACTGTACTAAAATGCACTATTAATACTACCCTAACGCTAAGTCTATGGAAGTGTATGAGAGAGGAAAGAGCCTAACACTGACTGCTACCATTTAATGCTTGTGTATATGTATAGACAGTTTACTATATGCATTGCGCATGTATACTATATTGTACTGAATATATTATACCATAGAATAACATGGAGCTTATTTATATAATTTTTAATTAAATAATTATAAATTTTATCAAAAAATTACTATTTTCATTAATACCGCATAATAATTATCTTTATAATAAATATTTTATTTTGTTTGAAAAATTTCATAATAAATAATAATAGCAAAAATAAAAATTAAATTTTAATTTTAATTTATTTTTAATTGAGTTAAAATTTTTATTTTTCATTTTTATTAAACAATAATATATATCTATATTAATAATTAAAAAATTATATTTTTATCTATAATAGTTTATTTTTTATTAATTTTTAAAAATATTTTATTAATTATCAAACCCTTTCCCATGTTATTTCAATAGGGGATAAACATATTTTTTAAAATCTTATATATAATTAATTAGTTAATGTAAAATTTTTTTTAATTAAATCCTTATTTATATATATAATATTTAGTAAAATAAAATATAAAATAAATATTTTTTGATATTTAAATAATGATTAATTTAAAATTACTAAAAATTCATTAATTAACTAATAATTACTCGTTAATAGTATAATACATTTAATTTTTAATTTTATATTAACTTAATTATTAGTTTCTATTTATATATAAAAAATAATTGTTATATAAACAATAGTTTTAAAGATATTAATTTTTAATATATATACCCGATAATTAAACCAACCCGCTTATAAGTTAATTAATTTATAAATTTTTAAAATTATTTATAAATTATATTTATATATTTAATTATGGATATAAAAATATATTTAAAATAATTTTATGACTTATAGTTAATATATTATTTAAATAACCGTTTTTTATTTTTTATCCCGTATAACCGGAGTACGGGTAATTATTTTGGGGTGGGAATTAAATATTAACTTTATAATATAATAATAAATATAATACTAAAATATTTTAATTATATTTATTGTAGTTTTTAAGTTATTAATTTTTTTAAAAAAACCAAAACCGGGAAAATTCCCAATCTCTAGTTTAATAGTTTTCTTATCTAGTTTAATCCAATAAATTTTAAATAAATCAAATAAATGCAATTTAAACTAAATATTTAATATCTATAGTATGGTAACATTAATAAAATTTTGTATTGAATTTTGTTTATTTTGCTCTGGGATTACCCGTTTGGCCACAATTCCCGAACTTACCCGAATAATGGACCGTGTGGCCAGACGGTAGCAGATAGACAAATTAAATTTAGAATATAGATTACAATTTATCTTTTCTGTGACACAGTAAAAATAATTTTACAATATGTCCACCCGTTCGGGTCTGACACCCGTTATTTACCGTAATTTGTGTCCATTGGACAAACGGTAACTGATTGACAATATTTTTTTAATAATTTATGTTAAAATTATTTACTAGAATAAGTCATTAAATTTACAAATTTTTATCACTATTAATTACCGAGATATTTAATTTAAAAGTACCCGTATGTGTCCATTATGGTTACCGTTAAGTACGGGTATTATTTTAAAATTTATTTTTTATAAGCTTAATTTTATTTATTTAAATATCAAAAAATATTTTTATTAATTATTATAGTTTATTTTATATTTAATTAAATATTTATCACGTGATTTAGTGTTGCGTGTTAGTTGAACAATACTGTACATGTATTTAGTTTGATGTCCAACACTGTACATTACTATACAGTATACCACTCCTCTCTAAATTTAGTGCTTATTATATCTAAGCATTATTTATATATATATATACTGTACTATATAATAGTATAATAAAAGTATTGTTAGGTACAGTATGTATGCTATATAAGTACTATATATTATATACTAAAATGATTTTAATTGTTTTTTATACATACATAATATTACGTAATGTCTAGTATGTCATTATTACTACTTATATATTGTATTAGTTAAAATTTGTTTAATTTATAAATTTATGAATTTATATTATATATATAAATATATATAAATTCTATATATTGTATATGCTAGTATATAACATTAATTGTATTATAAATATAAATTTTTAAAAATTAATTTAATTAATTATCAAAATATTTCATAATTTAATTATTATTTATAATTTATTCATTTTTAAAATATAATTTATTTTTATAATTATATTTTATAATATTTTTATTATTTTCTTAAATAATAATAATAGTTTATTGTATGGACAGTTGACTCATAAATATTCAACACACTTACTTGAGTATCTCGAGTATGGCCTGCACTTGATTGACATCAGAGGGAACGGTACGAAAAAAGTATTCATATTTTTGTTTGTTCGATAGTGTCGTACTAGTGGACTGGTAGCTAATTTGCGGCACTTTGAACAGCCGCAACAAGTTGGCCAACTGTATGCTTACGGTACTTGATTGGCCACCGATAACGCCGACCACCCGATCGTAGCTGCCTTCGCGAAACTTTGGTAGCGAACCGTCCATACAGGAGAACTCCTTGTCCACTAAGTGTGCGTTTTTACGTGCAATAAAACCCTATAAATATAATCAATTATTTTTTATTATTATCACATACTGTATATAATAAATAAATTATAGTTTAATTTTTAGAATAAATATTGATAATAGTTATAAACCATATTTCACAATATATTTTTAAAGTACTAATACATAATACAGTTATACATTATATGATTTATTTTGCTATTAAAAATCTATCAATCAATCATATTGGCTAGTATTTCAATATTAGGTATAATTTAATATGTTTTTTTTTGTTATATATATAGATAAAATATGAGACAATAATTTATTAGATAATCTCAATAATAAATATATCTAAACATAACAACAATAAAAAAAATAATTACAATATTTTATTTTATACTGTATTTTGTTCATCACTTTTATTATTATTATTTTTTATATATATATATATATTTAATATATTACGACAATATGATCAATCATTTGAATGGAAATTCAATAATAAAATTTGATGATTACTATTGATAATAATAATAATAAAAAAACAATTTGATGTACTATTGTATTATTGATATTTTTTAGTGTCCACTGTATTGCTATTATTATTATATTTATAAATGTTAAGCAAATATTATTAAAAATAATTATTGGATATTGAAGTCAAACTCGTGTTATAAAACATATATAATTCATGTAATTTACTAAAGCATGATATGTTTATAATATCAATAATAATAATAATAATATCATAAATTGTGATAACAATATTCATAATATATTTTTTTCTGCAATAAGGTTTCCACAAATCTATTTTTAGTGTACAATATATATATACTGAATATATGTTATGTTTATTAATTTATTAATAATTTTTTGTTTATTTATTCTCATCGCAATCGTAATTAAAATAAATAATTATTTAAAAGCTTTTAACAAATTTAATTGTAAATTATACTACAAAAAAACTTTTTTTTTTGTATAAATTATTTAAATAAATATATATTGCCAATTTTATTAAATATATATACAGTTAATATAATTTATATATTTTTTTTTAAAAATACAAAAAATTGATGTCATTTAAAATTATTAAATGCGTCATAAATTCTTTAACATATTTAATACAATATATTCTCTATATTGATACATACTATACTGTATTATATATCTATATCTTATATATATGACACTAAATACGAAAATCATTTCAAATGTCTAATCTCTGTCTGTGAAAGTTAATATTAAATATAATTCAACTAAAATATCAGATTATATATATATATGGAAATATTTTTTCGACAAAAGATTATTATTCAAAAGTATTTTGATTTTTTTTGGTGACAGTCAAACAAACAATCAAACAAAACATTTTTCTCATTTTCATTCACAATAAAAAAAACATTTTGAAAGCAAATAATAAAATTCTATATATAAATAATATATTTATATGTAATAAAAGTAATATAATTAATAAATGTTTATTTAGATTATAATTATTTTTTTTACTTATTATAGTGTGTGTGTGTGTGTGTTTTGACGAGACACACACTGCATGTATGATAAATATATATATAGTGCAAAATCAATCTAAATTTATATCATATTATGAATATTACTATTTTATATTATGCATAACGAAAAAATATGGTTTAAAAATATGAGTTGTTATCAGTGTAGGAGTTTTGAAATTGACATAATTGTGCTGATTTATGACAATTTGTCTTAAATATATACAGTATATATATATATATATATATATATATAGTATATACACTAACTGTTGTAAAATGCATTAATTAATTAATTTATGAATATTATTTGATAATAACAAATTTTTATCTGTCAGTACAGATATTTATTTTTTTAAATACAAATATTAAATATCTATATATAATAATTAATATAAATTAATTTATATACATATAAATAGATAGTCAATAATATGTTGTATAATAATGTGTATATTAATTTATATATTAATAATATCTGAATATATTTAATGATGGTTCAATCATTAATAATAAATTATAAATATTTATAAGATATGAGCCCTGGATATATTTATAACATAATTATAATTATTTATATATATACCATAAAAATTTATATAATATTTAGCAATATGTTGAATACAAGCTATAAAAATTCATAAGTTTTGTTAAATAACATTTACGGTAATAAATTTTATTTTTATTTTTTGAAAGAAAAATAATTTTATGGAAAAATTCCTTTAACCAAAAAAAATAAATTAAATAATTTTCTCTTTCATAGAAAATATCTATAATAATAATAATAATAATTTTTATATAATATAAAATATATATTGAGTCAATCGTAAAATTTGATTAATATTTAATACATAATAAAATAGTAAATTGTAATTAATTAATAATAAAAATATCGTTGAAACTCTAAATTTAATTTAATAGATATATTGTTTTAAATTATTTGTATCAAATTGATAGTTAGTTCATACAAATTACAGTAAATGTAAAATAATTAAAAAAAATAAATTAAATTAACCTTGATAAAATCCATGGTTTGCTCTAAAGCATAGGCAGTACTATCGCACGAGTCCAGTGCCAATAGACCCAGTTTGATGCCCGGCAATAGCTATATACAGTAGAAATTAATAGATAGTAATTGTATTGTAAATAACGATATCATTAAATTGAAAAAAATAACAAACAAATTAAGACAAAAAAATAGTAAAGCAAACAATTAATTAAATTAATTTGTATTGGATATTACATAAATACCAATTAATTGACTTTGATTTTATTGGATGTTAAGATACAACTAATTTATTTATTTATTTATTTATTTATTGATATATAACTCGTGTTTTCAATAAATCAAAGAATTATAAATAAAATATATATAAAAATAATTGTTATTTTTATAAATTTGTTTATAATTATAATAGTTTATAAATATACTGAATATTTGTGTTATGTGTGTGCATATGTATGCATCATTAAAAAAAAGTGTACTAAATTGACAATAATATAAATATATATAGATATTAGATAAAAACATATGACAACTATTTCAATATTATTTCTATTCATTAGATAATTAATTTATATATTTACAATTACTTATAAAAATTAACATTTAATTTATTTATATATATATATATATATATATATATATATTCACAAACAAAAATAATAATAAAACAAACCTTTTTATCGGAGTTAATCTTTTTGATTGTGTATATTAATGCCTCTAATTGTTGTAATCCTTCATCCTTTAGTTTAAACACGGAATATATTATTATTATTATTAGTCAATTCATTAAATAAATAAAAAAAAATATTTTTTAAAAACAAAACAAAAATTATATATAAATTAAAATTAACACAAAAAAACACACCTGAAGTCGGCCGCACTCCCAGCGCTGGTGTCGCTCATGAATGGGAAACATAGCCCCAAGCAGTATATCGCCGGAAAAATTCAGAAACCGTTGTATTGGCCACTGAAAGCCGGCACCCATTGTGGCCACAAACGGCAGCAACGGTACCAAAAACATATTGAACACACAGAGCAAGCTTTTGCGTAACACTTGTGTCGAGTGGTGATCCTTAGCCGATGCCGTCGTAGTCGTCGTCCTCAACACCAACGGTGTCGACATTGAAATGTATATATTATTTTTTAGAAAAATTGGTGAATCGGTTGACCACTTATTGGTGTATTTTTTTAAAGTCAATAACAATACGTCATTGTCGTTGTCGAAGAAGCTATAGTAATGTCGTCTTGATTTTGATGACTACTACTACTAATACTACTATTGATATTCAATAGGTTTCGCAACCGACAAACAAATTGATGATAATTGGAGTCAATTATTATAGTTATAATACTATTCATAGTTTTTTTTGTATATATATATATATATACACACAGTATCAGTGTTTACAGTATTTATTAGTAATTAAATTAGTTATTTTATTTTTTTTGTGATTATATTTTTTTCATCATTGAATTTATCGTTTAGTAAGTAAGTAAAGCATTTCAAATGCACTATAAATTTGTTATTTTTTCAGTTTTAATTAAAAACCAGTCGATAGAAAATATAGTTTATTAGGAATTTATTTTAGTATATATTAATTGTAAGTATTTATTCTAATGAAACCTTATTAATAATATTATTATTATTGCAATTATAATTATTTGTATTTATTATTTGAAATTATTTTTAAACAATTTATGTATATATTTTTTTTAGATAATAATAATTATTAATTAACAATTTAAATAATTTATAAATAAACTATGAATAAACAAACTTAATATTAATTTTTAACATTTTTAGTATTATATATTTTTAAATAAAAATAAATTGCATACAACATTCATTTTGTTGTTGTATACATTTGTATATATTTTTGTTTCATTATTATTTAACAATTAAATAATAGCATAAAATTTATTTTTAAAAATCAACAATTTTATCACTTTAACATTTTAGTTATAGAAAAAATATTTATATAAAGTTGCAATTATATATATATAAATTTGGAAACGTTAGATAAAGTAACAAATATTATTATTATTAGAGAATATTCTGTAACTATTTATTATACAATATAACACAAATTATATTCACGCAAATTGTTAGCATTTTATACGATATACCGGTATATATATATACACTAAAACTGAGTGTCCGTCCAGTACTTTGTCATATAAAACTGCTGTTAAACTGTTTGGACGCAAACTTTTATCTCTCAGTGGATTGTGTCGTAAAATTTAAGAGCAGTCTCTCACTAATAATAATAATATTTTATGTCTACTTTCCTACAGTAATATATTTGTATAGCTCTCTCTCTCTCTCTCTCTCTCTCTCTCTTTCTTTCTATATCTCTCACACATACAGTGTCTCCCATCAGTATTAGTACTCCCATCAGTGATGATGATGAAAGGGGGGGAACGACAGATTCTGCACATGTATGTTATAGACATCTAGACTTAAGAGAGAATTTATTTTAATATCTATCAAATATAATAATGTTTATATTCTGGTGGGAGGGGTATACTGTATGTATGCTATATTTCAGACAAAAATAATTTTTTAGCTATTAATGACACCATCTAATAGTAGATTTATATATATATAAAACATTGTTATATTATTATTATTTTTATTATAAAGTGTTTTGTACTTTTTTGTTTATTTCAATGTACTGTAAAAATGTTGTTATCCAAAGCTATGCAAATATCAAATGAATAAATAATTATATAATTGCTATTTAAAAAAATATATTGTAAATATTATTTTTACAATTTTTTTGTTTTTTACTAACTATTTACTGAAAAATAACATTTAATGTCTTTTTTGTGTTTGTATGTGTGCATACATTGCAATATTTATTTATTTATTATTTGTATATTATTTTATTTAATTGATTATTATTTGCAATTATTATTATTATTTTTTTCTTGTTATTCATTACAACAAAATCATTATCATTTCCGATTATGATTTATATGTATATTTTAACACTATAATACTGGTATATTAATTATTATAATATATATTGTATATATATACGTTAGATTTTTTGAATAGTAGTGTCAATTAAGTTAAAACAAAGTACACAAGTTAAGTGTAATAAATAAATTATTAATCAATTGTTTATTTAATTTATCAGTTTATATACTGTATAAAGTACTATAAATTATATACAGTATTACAATATATAAAAAATTGCTTATCAAAAATCAATAAAAGTGAAAAAATACATTTAGTATTACTAATCATTGATTAAGAGTATTCTTGAAAGTCATATTTTTATACAATACTGTATTATATCAAGTATTTAATTGACATAAAGTTATTTGCATTTGTTTAATCAATTAATTGCACTAAATTATAAATTGCATCAATAAAAATAAAAATTTTATTTTCTATTAAAAATTTTGTCTAAAAATTTTGATTAACATTGCTGTATATAAAGCAGTGTGTGTGTGTGTGTATGTGTGTGTGTGAGTTTGTATGTGTGTATGTTTGTTTGTATGTATGAATGAATGTATATATATATACTGTGTGTGTGTGTTTGTGTGTGTGTGTGTGTGTGTGTGTGTGTGTGTAAATGTGTTGTATATTTTACTAATACAACTATTGCAATGAATTTTAGAAATTTTATTTACACAATTTTTTGATTTAGTCACAAAAAAAATTAATTACTACAATGGAAAAAATTGTTTTGTATAAAGCTCAGGTAGGTTATATGCTAATGTGTGTGTGTGTGTGTGTGTGTGTAATTACTCCTGTAATTTCCGGCAGGATCTCACTGTCATTACAAGGGTGTCTGGGTATTTTTTTGTTATTGTTGTTGATAAAAGTCCAAACCAATGTATTATATAATGTAGATTTATATATATATTACTAATGCATCCAGACATTATCATTCAGGAAATTTTAATTATATAATATATTAATAATTATTAATCAGTATTATCAACAACAACAACAAAAATATTTAATTAACTCCATTTTTTTTTTTAAAAAAACTTTTTTTACAAAAATTTCATTGACGTAAAATTTTATGAATTGTAAATTTTTTTATTGATTCACAAAAAAAAATCTAAATGCTAAAAATAAATTGTTATACCAATTGTTATTATAATATATGCATTATTTATTTATTTTTTAGTATTTATAGCCTATATTTTTTATTTTGTATGTTTGTTAGATTGACTTAAATAATATGATTGTGTTTGATGTACCTAATAGGTATAATAGGTATAAATCATTAAAAAAACTTATTTTGTATGGTATATTGTTTTACAAATAATAATAATAATAATTGTCTTTCAAGATATTAGCTACACTTTAGTTGAATTTCAACATAACTATCATTAAGTCCAAAGGTTTATATCACATAATAATGATGATAGCATTACATAATAGTAATCATTTAATAGTAGTAATACTAATACTAGTACTAATAGTTATAATGTAAAATAACACATTTAATAGTAAATTTTGTGACGATCTTTAATATAYATTTATTTATTTATTTTTATATACTGTATATACAGTATATATCATATTTAATATAATATCAAATAAATAGCACAAAAAATATAAAATGATTTCAACGACATTTCATCACTGGTTTGCAATACCTGTGCGGAGCCAATGGTAGAGCAGGAGAGCTGTTATTAGGCGATGACTGTATGTGTGAAGGATAAACTGCAATCCTTAATAAGTACACATACAGTATATTACAGTACTGTACACTACATACCAGTGCCCACTGATTGTGTTTCTCTATGTATATGTGTGTGTATATATGTGTATGTGATTACAAGTTTGCAAAAAAAGTTGAAACACACCAGTGCTCCGTACAGTTTAAAAAAAGACAACAAAACTTATAGATAGACAGATATCTTTAATTTGTAGCCTTTTTTTTGCAAAAAACATTACCATTTAATGCCCAGACATAACATACACACTCACACACTGTCTATGTGTGACCTGTCTTTCCTCTGCGATTTTGTACTTCAAATGATTGCATATATTATTACTATTTTATAATTCAAAGTAATAATAATTATTATTAATATTAATTTATTTCTAAATATTTTTTTTCATATTACTACTGTACATAAATTTATATAAATCACTTTTTTATTATAATATACTCAATATATATATAATCTATATGTATATATATTTAATGTATTACATTAATGTTTTTTAATATATAACTTAATATTTCAATTTCATATGTTATCATTTAGATATAAATTATTTTTTAAAAATATATATTAATTTCTATATTTCAATATGTGTTTGTGTATTATAATAAACAGTTTTATATATAATATAGTATATACCGGTATATATATATATATTTGTATAAATTTATATATGCAGTATAACTACTATTTCGTAGTTGTATTACTAATATTTATATTAATATATAAAAATTTATATCAAATAATTAATAGTGTATTTCATAGAAATGTTATATAAATTGCAATCAAATATAAGTGGAAACAATTATTATTATTTAGACGAATACAGTTCCTCTATCTCATAGCTCCCTTTCCTCTCTCTCATACAATACTGTATATTATAGCTTATACTGTATTATAGTAATACTCTAATTATTTCATTGTAAACTATAATAATTATTGATATTATTATTCTTAGTATTATTATTATAAATATTATTAAAGTTTGCTTATCTTATCCATTCATTCAGTCAAATGTCAAGCATTTATGCGTTACGTTTAAAATCGATGACTACATGTCTGTCCACTTTAAGGACTGACTGTTCAAACTGTCGATTATCTCCTCCTACTCCTACTCTTCCTCCTCTTCCTCCACATCCATCTACCTGTTCATCTACGATATGTTGTTCATCGCACAATCGTTGTCATCAAACTCTATGCCAAAACTATGAGATACTATCAAAAATAGGCGAAGGAACCTATGGACAGGTATTCAAAGCCAACTGTACGACCACTGGCCGACTGGTGGCCATCAAAAAGATTATCAATCGCTACAAAACCGATGATCACATACACAATGAAATCAATTTGTTGAATAAGATTAAGCACAAGAATGTCATCGAACTGATCGACAAATTTGATTCATCACAGGATTATCGGTGTAGTAGTAGTAGTAGTAGTAGTAGTGATGGTTATGGTAAGCGTTTTGGTGACAAAATGGATGAAATCAATGATAATAATAATAATAACGACGATAATGAAAATCAAAGACCTAGTAGTGGTCGCCAACAGATCCACAAATATCTTGTGTTCGAGTTTTGTGACTTTGATTTGCGTGCAATTCTGTATGAACTGAGACAACGATTATCTTTTGCTGAGATCAAGAATATTCTTCGACAGATTCTCGAAGGAATTGCTTATATACACGATCGGCAAGTTATTCATCGGGATATTAAACCCGAAAATATTTTGGTAGACATTACCGGCCGGGTCAGGATTGCCGACTTTGGTTTTGCTAAAGCATTGCAAACGATCTCATGGAACGGATTCTCGTCCAAAGTGGTCACTCTGGCCTACAGAGCACCCGAACTGTTGGTCAACTATCGGTTCTACGGTACGGCTATCGACATGTGGAGTGTCGGCTGTCTGATGGCCGAACTGTGGTCGCCAGGAGATGGGCCGCTGTTTATGGCCACCGACGAGTACGACCAGCTCATGCAGATTAGCCGACTGTGCGGACCAATCAATTCTGTTAGTTTGTTGGGCGTCCAAAACATGTACTTCATGTCCAATCTCTATTTACCGCAAATGTTTCGCCGCAATGTACGCAAAACGTTTGCCATCCGATGTACACCCGAAACCAATTCTGTGGATCTTTTCGACAAACTATTGTGTCTGAACATTAAGAACCGGGTGTCGGCTACCGATGCCCTTAAACACCCATTGTTTAACACTGAACCCCAAGACTGTGATATTAGTCAAACGTTGAAAACATTTTTAAATATTAATAGTAATAATAATAATAATCAAAGCATTCATAATATTAATAATAATAATGAAAATTTTTATACCATTACTACTATTAATAATAATAATAATAATAATAATAACATTATTGATAATTATGTTAATCATCATAACATTACTGAATTATACTGATTTTTTTATTATTGTGTAATAAAATATTTTTTTTACCGGATAATTAATATATAACTATTTTTATATTTTATTTTATGAGATATAAAAAAATGTTTTTGCATTAATTACATTATTTTATAACATTATAATAAATTATACAGTAGTATGTAATTGTAAAAGATTAATGAATAAAAACATATTTTTAAAAAAAATTATATAAAAATAAGAAAAAATATTGATATTTAGTATATACTATACTTAAAAGTATAATTTAGTTAAAACAAAAAACAAATTAAAACTATTTTTTGTCAACAAAAAAATTCATTATTTTTTGGTAAATCGTATCCACTGATCATTAAGTGATTTGCTATTAATTAAACTTAAACCAAATCTATTGGTCACCAAATTAACAACAAACTCCCGGTCCTTATCAGTCGTCGACTTAAACACTTTCAATGAGAACCTATCGAGTGGAGGACTTTTTCGGTATTGTCGACAAATTGCATGCAAATTGTCGACAATATCCTGAAAAGTGGGCAATCGTTCAATAAAATAGCGATTAAATGGTCGCACTTTCGGACAGTAGTCGATGGCCAACGACTTCAGGACAGGCATACGTGAAATACATGACCCAAACTGAACAATATTGTCTAACTTAGTATAGTCTATAAGACAAAAGAAATAGACGGTTACCGACAAATGGGCTAAAAGTGGGCCATAATTGTCGGCAAAGTGATCCCATTCGGGTCCTAACAGATCGATGCCGTCGTCGACGATAAGTGTCCGCAATCGTGGAAACAGCCGCCTATTTGGCTGACAAAATACATCAATAAAATCGTAGAAAGTGTTGACTTTGATACGTAGGATACGGGCGCAGAGGTCAGTGTTGGCCATCAGGTTATACTTAGACAGATCGTACAAATCCATTGATAGCAACTGTTTGGCAAACTTTGCGAAAATCATTTGCATTGTCTCCCATCTAACAAACCGGTCGTATCCTACATGAAGGCCAGTCACTTGAGGACAGTTAGAATTTATGATGACTTCGAGCAACAGTTCATTGTTAGTATAATAGTCGCAATCAAATGATAAATATCTAACGTTTGGACATTTTTTGATAATATCACTGAAATTTTCAACTAACGATATCATTAGTTGATTGTCTAATGATTTATCAACAGTGATAACAGTGTGACCATCGAAGATGACTCGTTGCCATTGTTTGGACAGACATTCGCAGCGAATCTTGTCGTCGATCGGCAGATACGATAGTATGTGTCCGCACAAGTCATCGCCGAATCGGTCAAATGAGTTTCGGCTATAAGTTTTTGACATTTTTGTTTGTTTGTTTGTTTTCCGGTCAACAAAAATATCAATAATTATTTTTAAGTGATATTATTTTGAAATTAAATTATCAATAATAATAATAATCTTTTTATTAAATAAAAATCTATTATTATTACTACTATTGGGAATAAATTTTTGTATACTAGATTAAACTATCTAAAAACAATATAAATATATATATACTAGGGTGACCTTAATTAACCCTACTAAGTATTAGTATAATATAATTTATATAGAGTACAGTAGAAAATGCGATTATATAGGATATGGTATAAAATAAATTAAAAATAAATTAAGAATATCAATAATTGAACTTGATAAATTAATATATATATATAAACAAAAACACCATGGTATTTTGTTAAGATTTCAACTTATTTATTTTTTTAAAATATACAATTTATTTTATTATGGTAAATATAATATATTATTAGAAAACCACTCACTTTTATTAAATAGTATATAATATATATATCTATTTTATTTATATGTATAAAGTATACAATTTATAAATCCCAATCAAAATTGCATATATGTTTATATAATAATAATTATTATTATAACTATTTTATTAATAAATTGTCTATTTATATATTTATATAATATATTTCTCTAAAACTATACAATTAAATATTCTCAAAAATGTTTTTTTAATAATATACATATAACTTAAAAATAATAATAAGTTTAATAATAACACTTATTAAATATCTAATTTGTGGTATAATAATAGTACTAATAATACTAATATTGCATAAACAAGTTATCAAAAAAATGAAAACTATAGATAATTAAATTGAATTGAATCAAAATAATTGTATAAATAATTTCAAACATATTTTCACAAAAAATTAATATAATAGAAATATTGATATTTTCAATATTATGTAATCAAAATGTGTTAATAAAAATCAAAAATGGTATGAATTGGATGGTATTTGTAATAACAATGATTGGTTGTAATATTTTGTTTGTTTTATGAATTGAATTATTAAATAAATTGTGATTTGAATAAAATTAATTAACAATGTATTTCACACATTACTTAATAATATAATAATAATAATAAATTATGGTTTTGTTTGTTTGCTTATTATCACACATACAGTACAATAGGAATTGTATTACAAAATTAGTTCACAATATTTGTAATTATTATTATTTTTTGTGTTAAAAATATTTCATGAAAAATATCTGTGAAGACAAGATTTGAAAAATAATATGCAAATAATTAATCTATAATTATTATTTTCTTTACATAAAAAACACACTATAAATATATATATATATATATAAATTTTTATAAATTATAGTCAAACATTATTCCTTAATTATAAAAAAAAAACAATTATCAATAGTATTATGCGCTTTCATTATTATTGTTATCATTATTAAGGCCAACTTGGTTATTTATCTTTATTATTGATTTATTTATCTTAATTATTAATATTATAGTTAAGATTATTATGTTATAATTAAATTTATTAATTGGAAGCACTGGTATTATTAGTATTATTATTATGATTAGGAGGCACTTGTATTAAGGCACTGGAGTCAGTGATAGTAATCCAAACTTCGTTAGCATTTTCAATGTCATCCAAATTAAGCAACACTTCGGGACATTTGGTACCGTCCGGGTCGTCGTCGACAGCGGCCACCACTTGGCCGTCATTGTTAACAGTAATCAATTGCTGGAGATCTTGGGTAACAATTAGACCGTCTTTGAGGACATTTAGCTCAAAATCTTTTAGACTGTTAGAGTCGATGATAATCTCTTCGACATTATTATTATTGACACAATCAGTGATTCCACTGTTGATAACATCGTTATTATTATTATTATGAAGATGACTATTGCCACCGGATGTCGATGCTCTGAGATGTAGGTTCACGGCCTGAGAGTCGTTATTATTCGTTTCAATAGTGATGACTTCGGGTGTTTTAACGATCTTTGTCGCCGAAGTCGCCGCCGTCGTCGACAACGATTTTGTGACCAATTTATCACTTATGCCTCCACCGCGAGCCAACTTCTCCAACAATTCTGTGGTATTAATCAACGCTTTGCTATTTGTCGCCGATCTCGTGATACCGGTAGTTATATTCTTACCGGTGCCACCACCACCACCACCACTACCGCCAATGTCATCCTTATTGATTTGGGAATTGATTCGCATTTTGCTCATCAAAACATCTTTTGATCTGCTGAGTATACTGACAGCCAAAGCTTGATTGGCCGCCTCTTTGTCGATCAACTCGTTGTCAGACTTCTCTGACATATCGGCACCACTGAGAGCGACAGCACCGCCGCTACTATTGCTGTCCTCACTGACACAGTTAGCCGAACCGTCCGATAGTTTATGCGACAGTCGGTGCTTAAGCATTGTTACGTACGATAGAAATATTTTATGACATATACTGCATGAAAACGTCCGAAATCTAAACGATGAGCCCTTAGCTGGTGTTGTGGTCGACGGCGACGAGTCATTCCTGTCTCTGTCTGTTGTAGTGTCACCACACGAGTCAACCACCCGTTTTGACTGAGTTTCGTCGGTTGTCGTCTGATTTAGATTGACATCACTTGGATTCGTACAGCTCTGGTCTCCTCCCGATTGTTGTTTTTGTTGTCCAGTGGTGTTCGAGGCTTTAGATTTAATGAATTCCTCCGATGTTTGCAAAATCTGGTCCTGTTTTGTCTGATCCCGTAATAGTGTTAGTACTGTGTCCTCAATTTGACTTCTCTGTGTAATAAAAAAAATCAAAAACAAGTATTAGTATTAGTTTTACCAAAAAAATAATCAATTCTCTAATAACCCGATCACTGAACACTTACCACTGATAATGATGATGGAGTGTAGACCAGTGTCGGCGGCAAATCGGCCTTCAATTTTGTGCCGCCGCCGCCTGGGCTGCCGTCACCGTTGGCCGAGTCCTCAAAGATTTGTTTCTTCTTTTCGTCGATCTGTTGCCGAATCGGACAAATACTTTTGATGTGTTTCCTATAATTAGCCAAATATGTGAACCCTCTCTGACAGTATGGACATGAGTGGTGTTGCGCTAATTATATACAGTATATACAGTATATCGGGGGACGGCATTAGTAAATATGACAGTTCAATATGTGTATGTAATAATAGTTTATGTGTTGTGTATGTATCGGAAATTAAACAAATAAAATGTAAGCAAAACTAGAGGAATAGAAAAGAGAAAGAGAGAAAAAAAACAGAGAAGCAGAAGAATTTTGACAACTCTTCTATGGATGAAAAAGACCACTTAAAGAGGTGGTATAGACACACACACACAAGCAATATGTATAGGATCTGCGGCTATAGGATCAGTAGCCAAGAAAAAAACAATTGGAGACATACCTGGAGACCCTTTGAAGGCAAACTGCGGGTTCTCTTGTTTGACGCGCCATAAGTCAAGCTTTTCATCTTTAGACGAAACACCACCACTACTACTGGTTTCGATCAATACTTCTTCGTCTTCCGCCGCATCATCGCCGCCACCACTACCACCGGTAACAACACTTTTATTATTATTATTATCATCATTAGTGGTGATGTCATTATTGATGATAATTTCTGTGCTTTTGCGGGTGTCGTTGTCGTCGTCCTCAATAGTCTTCGAACTGCTGTTATTTTCTTTGCTATCGCCACCAGATTCTTGACTCTTCTCCTGTTTAATGGTTTCATCTGCAGATAAACTGATCGATTCGTTGACTAATTTTGTTGTTGTTGCTGCCGTTGATGATGACGCCGCCGATGAAGATATAGGCGTTGAGGTCAGTAGTGGTGTTGAATTAGTATTAATGGCTAAATCGTTTTCTTCATCGTTAAGCTGCTTACGAATTGGACATATATTGGTGATATGCTTCTTGAAATTTGCCAAATAAGTGAATATACGCAAACAATCTGGACATTGATGCTCGTGAAGCGATTGATTAGCTGATGATAATGATGACGATGCCGATGATGGTGTGCTGACAATTGCTGAATCGGTGATGGTTGTTGTTGTTGTGGTCGTAGATGTGGCGACAACTGAAGACAACTTGCTTTGTTGTCGACTAGCGCGCGATGGACTTTCCTCATCGGGTGGAACTGATACTGTCGACTCATCGATAATAGGTATGACTTCTTTATGTTGTTGTTGTTCTACTGTGTCCTCGTATTCCATGTCCTCTTCTTCTGTGTCTTCATTGAGAATATCTTCAGTTTTATTGTTTGATTCAGATTTGTTGTGTTTTGTACTCAATGGTTGTTGACTTGTTGTCGTATTCAACTCATCCGCTATTTTTCCGCCCGTTTTATTAGTATTATTGCTTTTTGACGGCGAGTCGGCAACGCTTGACTGGTCACCACTGTTGTTGTTAGACTGATGTTGTGAACTCCTCAGTGTTCGCTTGAATTCATTGTCCGATTTCGGTGATGTCATTGTTGCTGTCTTTGCTGGTGATGTCGTTGTTAATGTCTTTGCTGGTGATGTTGCTATCAACTTCTTGTTGATGGTGTTATTATCGCTGTCTTTGACGACACGCTTACAGGACATCTCGTGTTTGGATAGCGTGTCCTTATAGACAAATTTTTTCGTACACTTCTTGCATGAGTATCGTTTCGGAAGACTGGTTTCAATGACTTTTGTCGTCGAATTGCTATCATCTTTGACAACAACAACATCAGCTGCCGTACGGTCGGCGGTAATATCGCGGACAACTTCTTTTGGCGATTTTTCATCGCATTTTGAATTGTTTTCGTTGTTGTTATTATTGCTATCATTTGACTTATTCTTGTGGACCAACAACTCTTCGACATCGATCTTCGGCGTTGTCTTGTTGTTGCCATTCTTCGCTAATCTGCGCCGGCGTTTCGGACGTCGCACTTCGTCTGAATTGATTTGTCGTCGTTTTCCCGATCGGGTCTTCGACGGCGACAATGGTGACGAATAATCGGTGGTCACCTTTTCGGTGGCGTTCGACGAGAAGCTACATTCGGTAAGAGTCGAATCATTCGTTGTTGTTGTTGAACTGGAAGTATTAATCATTGATGAACTAGTAATGCTGGTGTTGTTGGTAGTGATGATGTTTGCTGTTGTGGTTGAAGGTGTTGTTGTTGATGACGATAATGATGTTGTTGTTATTGCTGTTGTAGCGCTGACATTGGCTGAGATCAGCTGTTGTGATGATACCGATGATGATTGACTAATAATGGTCTGCTGTTCCTGTGTTGCTGTGATTCGCTTCTTGGATGGCCTATTGTGAGCGCACTCCAGTATATGATTGTGCAGTTGACCTACTGTTCTGAACGATTGCTGACATTTTGTACATTTCATAGTCGCGTTGTGATCATCGCCACCGGAAGCTGTGGTGGTGGCGGTGCCGTCGCCAACTGTGGCCACGTCAGTGATGTCCATGGAGTCGCCAGTTTTGGCCAGTGTCGGTGCCGGACGACACCTGTGTAGCAAACCTTCAGCGCAATGGTACTGCCAAAGTAGTAACTGTGCGGGAATGTCGTTGAAGGCGTCGACCTCCAGGTATGTGCACTCGACATTCGGATGATTATTTAACTCGTGATCGGCCATCACATCGGCTGAGATCTTATGATGACAAGCGGTACAAATAAATGATGACTTGTTTTGTGATTGCAATTGTTGTGGTTGTTGTTGCTGTTGCTGATCAACAACTGATACCAAATTAGTTGTGTCGTTGTTATTATTGTTATCGTTGTCGTCGTTGGATTCGACAACAAACGGCCCAAACTTTGTGCGATTCTCTACTCTATTCAGATTGCAGTCGAAAAGATACTCCAGTTTTTCGGTATTGGCCGACACGGGTGGCGAACGTTCGTTTAGGAAGTCTTCGGGAAAGTTATATTCGCTGAGATTAATGTCGCGATTATTAGCTGCGGCGGCTCCGGTGCTGTTGTCGTGGCGACCAAAATGATGATTGAGTATGACTTTGTGGCTAAGATCTGGTGACGAACCGGCCATACCTTTTCCATCGACAAAATACAGAAGATTTTCGGCAACTTTCTGGGCCAGTGTCCGATAGAATTCCATTTCGTAGGCATTGCTGCGCGGTTCGGTTAGATCGCGGTCGATGTAGGTTTCGGTAGTCAATCGGGAACAGTTGCGGACAGGTGTCGGCCGGTGTGCTATTTGTTTGTGATGTATAAGTTTGCCGTACGTCAGGAATCGTCGATAACAAACGGAACAATGAAAGTAGGCTTGAAATTGGTTTGTCTGCGACATCTGGCTGTTGACAGTTGTCGAGCCGTAGATTACCGACAGATCCATTGGCGCATTGTTTGCCACCGATTGACTGCTGTTGTTGTATTTGTTGCGACTTTTCAGACCTTTTCGTTTTGTTCGCAACTTTTCGGTATTTTCACGGGACGTCTTCTGGTGTTTTTGACGCAAATGTTGTGTCAATTGTTTTTTGACAAACAAAAACTTGTGACAGAATCCGCACGGATGGTAACATTCTTTATGCTTTTTGGTCACATGTTTTCTTAGCTCAGCGTACGTCGGGAACAGTTGCGTACAGCGCAGACACTTATGCTGTGGAACAGTATGTTGTTTGGAAACTACGGTTACTGTAGTTGTTTTTGTTGTTGTCTTCGGCGGTAAACCTGTTGAAAACCTGTTGCTGTTGTTGTTGTTCTGCAACGATAAATCTGTCACCAATTGGCAATCTTCTTCTTCTTCGTCGTCGACTTGATTATGTCCGTCATTATACTCTTCTTCGTCGCCCTCAAGCCGTTGCTGTTGGTTCGGGTGTTGACTTTTTTCGTGTCGTTTCCGGTCGACTATTGTCTGAAACTTTTTATTACAATGCTTACAACCGAACAGCCGTTTGCCCTGATGTACGACCTCGACATGTCTGACCAGATTGTGGCGCTGAATGAACGACATGTTGCACTGAGAACAGGGTATGCGAATCGGTTCGATGGTTCCCGAACTAGTATTTCGGTGACAGTCGTCCACATGAGACTTGACAGCTGGCAAGTCATCGAAATATAATACACACGAATGACAACAGAACAGCTCAGGCATCGGATGATAGGATAGGTCGGTGGGCGGCGGCTTCGGTGGTCGTGAGGCGCACTGTTTGCGCCACTGTTGTAGCGAAGCACTGGCCGCCAGATTGATGCCGCAATTGGTGACATCGGTTTCGCACAGATAGCCATAGTTGATATGCGACCGAATGAAATGACGTTTCAAACTGAACGAATGTCGGTAAACGGCGCCACAAATGTCGCATTTGTAGAGCTTCTTCCCGTGTTTGCCTTTGAAGATATGGTGGTCCATCATCTGGAACTGATACTCTCCAGGCTTAGCCCGAACGGCCGCAATCTCCGATGATGACGCAGCTGTTGCCGATGCACCGCCATCACCACAACCAGCGGCAGCCGCTGACTGATCGCTGGCTATAATCATAAACTGGTCGACACTGGTATCGCTGCCCCGATAACTGTGGTGTTGATGATGATTACTATTGTCGTGATTGCTTCCGTGTCCACTACCGCTGCTGTCGCCTCTATTGCCGCCGCGTCCAGAGCCGCCACCGCCACCACCAGCACTGACCTCGTAATCGTCGCATTCGGTACTGTCCTCATCGCCGTCGTCGTCATCATCCGAGGCCATCATCTGTTGGTCCATTGAAGGCGAATTGAGTGCCTGTTTGATCTCTTCCTCAGTAATCCGATGGCCATCAACTACTTCGTCGTCTTTATTGTTGACAATAGCCAACAATTGTTGCAGATCTTTGTCTTCATCGGCCATTACTCCCCCTCCCGACAAAAAAAACGGGAGTTTTATTACTTTTCACTACCAAATGGATAACACCTTTGGCTGAGAGACTTAAACCTAACACTCAAACTATTGGAGAGCCAACTATTTGATAGCGACTATACATTTATATTACATACTACTAGTGCTTAACTGTTCACTGAGTGAGTAGTAGTATTGGGAACACCATTTAGGATAGCAATAGGAATAGTAGTAAAGGCCTCCAAAAAAAAACCTAATGGAGTACACTGTTGTCGCGGGACAGTTGTGTGCGTTATGAATGTGCTTTAATGGACAACTTTAGACTGGACTACACCATCACCACAAAAAAACGGCTGTCCTCTAACAGCGTTAGGTTAGGTTAGATAACACTCACACACACACAGAAAAAAATGTATCGCCAATAGACACGTATAGAGAGATAGAGAGAGAGTAGTACTCCATTAAACAGCACTACTGTTTTATAATATATGTTTGAGTGTATGTTATATACGCTATGACCTACAATACAGATATATATATATACTCACTCCTCAACCAACTGTCCCGCAGTGAAACCTCCTTTCAGGGGGTAATAGATTTTTAGGTATGAGCTGTAAATGTATGAGTGTTTGCTTGCTCAGGGAGATAGAGAGTAGAGTAGAGTTTATGGTGCAGTGTGTGTGTGTGTGTGACTGTAGTTTTCAAGCAAACAGTTTTCCAGTTGTTGCGCTGTTATCACACCAGCAATGGTATTATTGGAGGTGCCGTTTGGGGTAAACTTGTGAGTTTATGTATAATATGTATGTATGTGTGTGTGGGGTACACAACCAGTCTGTCTCTAAATATTATTACTACTACCAGTGCTTGCGATATCACTGGTATACTGTAGTAGTAGTAGTAGTAGTAGTAGTAGGCATAGACACTCTCTGTATGTGCACTGCACTGGAATCTGACTTCACTTGACTCTCTTTCCTCTAATATAATACTCTCTGAGCTCTCAAATGCTTTTACACCCCATTCTCCATACATGAGCTCCACTCTAAATACTATAGTATACATGAGCTCTCTCTCTCTCTCTCTCTCTCTCTCTCTCTCTCTTTCTGTTATCTAAAAATAAAGTTAAATGAAAACTACTAGAAATGATAGTTAAAATATTGTGTTGACTACACACTGTATATTAGTGGTGAATAAACATATAATTTATATATAATAAGTTTGAAACTGAAATAAAATGAAACAAAACTAAATAATAATAATTTGCACACAAAATGTTTTAGTTTTAGTTTAGACTATACACTGAAATGCAATGCAATCTACAGACAAAAAAACATACAAAAAAAACTTGTGATATATTTGTTGTTAAAAATTTTTATATTATATGATATATCAATAAAGTTGAATGAAAGTTGTCGTCGTCGACGACAAACATTTATAGCACATATACCACAGTATGTATTACAACACCACACCAATAGATTATGGGGTCGGGTATGTATGTGTGTGCGTATGTGTGTATAAAAGCTATATGTGTTTTCAAATAAATATAATTAGATATATAGTTATAAACAAATAAGTTTTTGTTTCTCTCTCTCTCTCTCTCTCTCTCTCTCTCTCTCTCTCTTTATTTATTTATTTGCAGTATTTATTTATATATAATACTGTATATATATCAGTATATTCAGTGATGATCAGCAAATAGCAATCTTCAATGTTATTGTGCGCTATGTTATGACATACATGTATCCTATAATAATAAAAAAAAATGTTTAACTTTTTAATAATATACAGTATATCATATATAATATATGTTTCAATTCACACATACTTACTCTAACTGCTCTCTCTCTCTCTCCCTCTCTCTCTCTCTCTCTCTCTCTCTCTCTCTCTCTCTCTCTCTCTTATCTATTGAAATTCATTTGCATTAGTATTGCTCTCTTTCTCTTATTATTCCCCATATCCTATATGATAGAGAAAGTGAGAGAGTAGTCTCTCTATAAACTCTGAACCCAAATATACTAAAACTTACTGTAATAATAATCAGATAGATATATAGCTAGAGGGCCTCCAAACATACTCTCCCTATCTCTCTCACACACACTATGTATAACTTTTAGACTATAAGCATATATTTAATGTGCATTTAAAGGTAAGCTTTTCGCTTTCTGTCTCTCATTCTTTATCGTTGACGACCCCTCCCGTCCCAATCCCCACCGAAATACTAAATAAAAGCTAAAGAACATGTATTTGTAATATTATTATAAAAAAAAAGTTTTGCACAAAAATTTTAATACCATTACTAAACATATCTTTGACTCTCTCTCTCTCTCTCTCTCTCTCTCTCTCTCTCTCTCTCTCTCTCTCTCTCTCTCTCTCTCTCACTCACTCACTCACTCACTCACTCACTCACTCACTCGTCATATATGTGAGTGAGTGATTGGATGTGTGTTAGAGAGAAAGAAAGAGAGAGATACTAAATACCCCTTAACCATAATGAACAACAATCCACAGTCCTATGATTGAGTCTCAGCTCATGGAGAGAGAGAGAGAGAGAGAGAGAGAGAGAGAGAGAGAGAGAGAGAGTGATTGAATTGTGGGACTGGCTATACATCAATGACTGATTAGAGATTATAAATATGAAAAAGTATGGCAAATGTGTTCATCGCTTTTATCCAAAACGGATCAGTAAATGGAGTGTCAAAATATATTTCTAATAAAATGATTTATTTTGAAAATCAATTATTTATTTTTATTTATTTATAATTATTTCTATTTATTTAATACTTTTGAAATTTGTTGACAACTTAATTTTTTATCGCTAATTATAGGATTTATTTTTTTTACATATTAATAATAATTATAATAATATCATTCAAATACTATAGAGTATAGTATTAATAATAATAATTAATAATAAATCTATTCATTTACAAACATGTTTTGACAAAATACTGTGAATAATAATATTGTAATAATTGTAATAATGTAATAATAAAAGTATTTTAATAAAAAACAATATAAAAATGCATTTTTTAAAAATCAATGATTCAGCAAAACGTGTAAAAATGTATAAAAAAATAATAAAATGTTTAGATATATGAAAATATATCTTATAGTTATAGATAATAAAAAAAAGTATAGAAATTATTTAACAATTAAATGATATGATTTTTGTTTATAAACTTTCAAGTTTTCAAAATTGGCAATATTTTTGTTTGTTTGTTTTATTTAGTGAACACAATATATTGAATAAATGCAATTAAATTTTGTGCAAAAAAAAATTATAAAAACAAATATCAAAATATATATATATAAAATAAAAATATTATGAAATCTTTGAGTTTGAATATGAAAATCAATACTTTGCTTATATACTTGTAATACTTTACTGGTATATAATATACTGTAAATTATAGATAAAAAAAATTATTAAAAAAAATAAACAATTTGTCAAATATTTTCACAAAAATATTTGTCAAATATTGTCATATAAAATATATAAATATATTATAAATTAAATATAATATTTCAATATTAATAAATAACAAATGAGTCTAAAAAATAAAAAACAAATTTATAAAATAATATTATTTCTAAAACTTTGTCACTAAAAAACACACCAAAAAAAATCTCTATTGTGTTTTGCAGCCATCCTTTGGTTTCTTTTTCTTTTCCATCGAACTGATCCGTCGCTGACCCTGGACTGGCATATAAGGTAGTACTGGACTGGTAGCTGATGTTGAGGACGACATCGTCGACGATGCCATTTGTGTCCTATTTCGTCGACTCTTTGGTTCATCAATTGGATAATAGTTGTCTGGTATACTGGGATCGTCATCCGGATCGTAATCGTTTAGATGATAATTGTGGTGATGTTGTTGTTGTTGCTGCTGCTGATGATGATTAAGTTGTTGTCTCCTTTGATCAGTAGTCGATTGTGGACTATCATTTGGCGATGGCATAGGCGATACTTTATATACTTGAGCAAAATGTAGACCAGTTTGCTCGATAAAGTCGTCAACACTTGACTCCATGTCTCCATTAGTTGCAGAGGGAATGTCGTGTCTGTTTAAAGAGTTGTTGTTCAACAGTGGATTCGATAGGACAGTCGAGTTTGGTTTGTATGTCGGATCCAAAAACGCTGCAATATTTGTGTGATAAGCTGTCGCCGGTTGATTAATCTCTTCATAGGTTATGCTATCGGTATCTGAATTATGGCTATTGAGCTGTTGTCGGCGAGCGGGTGCGGCAGCGACCGGCAAACCGTATAACTGTCTGTGCGTCGAATTGCTATCACTACCGCTGCCACCATCACCCCTGCTGTAAACACCACTCTCTTCTTGTCGCTTCTGTAGAGCCTTATGTTTAGCCCGTTCTTTCAGTCGTCGCAGTCGTTCCTTCTCTTGTTTGTGCAGTCGTCGGGCAATCTCGTAGTCCTGGGCTTCGATTTGAGCCAACTTTCCCTTATCAACAGTACTCTTGCGTTTGATCTCCTGTTGCTGCAACAGACGGGCAATTTCGGCGTCCTGTTCCTCGAGAAATATTCGCAACTCGTCGGGTGTTAAGTCATCGGGCGGTTGCATACAAAACTCGGACAAATCCAGTTCGTCCTCCGATAGGGCACCACCACCACTGTTGGCACTGTTCCTCCAATTCATCCGATCAGCGGAAACGACACCACTGTGTGAAGCAGAAGCAGTAGCGGCACTGAACTGTTGGTTATCACTGTCCGTACCGTCCGACTGCGACATCCGACTGTGTTGATGATGGTGTGGTGGGTTTACCACATGTGTGACATTCAACTGTGCGCTCAGTTGTTCGACCTGTTGCTTCTCGCGCTCCAATCGTTTGCGTACAAGTCGTGCCTTATCTCTGGCGGCCAACTGTTTGGCCAGTCGTTCGTCCTCCTCTTCCGTACGCCGTTGACTGGACTCTTGTTCCATAAGTCGGCGTTGCATTTCACGAGCCAATCGTTCGTCTTCGTCGTACTGATGGTCAAGCAATCGTTCGTAACTCAATCGTACGGCTGTTGCTTCTTCTTCTTCGTTTCGTTGCAATCCTTTGGCAATTGGCAGATCTTCGCGAACCGTACGGCTCTTATTGCGATTGCCCTCATAATGTTGGCTAACTGTTCTCGTTAGTCAAATAAATTGAAATGAATACAAAAACAATTTAATTAATAAATAGAAAAAACAATAGTTTAATAGACACAACATTAGGACAGACAGACAGTCAGTCAGATAATTAAACAAAAAGGTGACTCACTTTCCTGATTCTGTAACTGATAGGCCAGTACTCCGTCTTCACGTACTAACCATTCTTTGCAAACTATTATCAAACAAACAAAAATTGGTATTAAAATTATATTAAAAAACTATATTATTATCATATAAAACATTAATGAGTTTTTATAATAATAATAATATTAAAAGGATATACAAAGTATATAATTTATATTTATATATTATATGTTAAAACAATTAGTTATTAAAATAATAATAATAAAATAATAATAGCCTTCAAGTCGTCACAGTTATGCGACACTATATTATTACCACTAAATATCATTTAAATCTGTATATAATTTATTGTATTTATCATTGTATCTCTTAATATACGGCTACTGTTTTATTTTTAATATACAGTAACAAAATTAAAATAGCATTATGTGACAATTGTCTATACAATATTTTTTAATAATAAAAAAGAAACTGTTAAGGTTTGCACCGGGAGGTCATATAATATCCGATCACACACACATACACACGCACACAACTAAGCCAACAAAATAAAACATATATCACTTTTTCATATATTATCTTTTTGTAAATAATTTCTATAATGTGTTTTATGTATGTTTCTATCAAAAAATGTTAGAAACAAAAAAAAGTTATTCAAAACTTTTTCTTTTATTAAAAAAATCAAATAAATTCATATGTAATCAGTTTTATATTATAAAATAATTTTTTTAAGATTCATATTTCCAGTGCATATTCACAGATAACACACTGTTTATAAACACATTATTATTATTATCTTGAAAAGCATATCATTATTACATATTTCAAGTGTGTATGTGTGTGCTGTTAGCTCATCATTGCATACATACATACATATAAATTCACGGAATCCTCTCTAAACTACAGTACAATCATATTATATATGAAAAACTAAAAAAAATATTTTCAAAAGCGTCTCATATCCGGTCAAAGTATATAAAGTTTATGCTTAACACAGATTATAGCATATCTTGAAATACAATACAATATATAATAACAACAATAAAACTTTATATACAACTGTTATTATTATTATTATATAATAGACAGTATATAGTTTTATATGTAACCTTAAGCAAAAAAATACAATAAGATATATACCCGTCAAGTCTGACAATTTTAGTTTTATTTTATATTTTTTCGTGAAATAATTTATCACAATTAGTCACTATTCACTAATTAGTCACAAAAATACTATTATATTTATCAAAAACAATTTAGTCTATCTATCTATAACTTGAGGCTAAAGTTATTTAAAGTCCTCTCAATAAACAAAACAAAAAAAATAATAAAAAATAAATACATATAATAACTACACTTATATTAACTTCAATGAACTAAAAAAAACTATAGTAATAGTAAAATCTATAGTATAACTAACTAAAGTCACACAATTTAATGGGGGAAACATATATATAAGGGGGTAGAGTAAGAGAGTGCTCTGGTGACACCTCCTTGAAATAATAATAATAATACTGGTTTTTCATAGTTGTCCTAACATTTCATATGTGAATTGCATTCAAATAACTAGAAAATAATATTTTGTTTTAAAAAAAATTATGTAACCATTATATATAGTATATAAAAGAAATAATATTTCAGACTCGACTAAATCTTCAATAATACCGTATATATTAATTAAAACTTAAATTACATAAATTTTAACTATAATTATTAGAAAACACAATATATAATGTATTATTTTACAAAAATATTTCTAACACGAATTTTTTTTCATAATTGATTAATTGAAATTATAATAATAATTATTTTTTTTTTTAAATTATAATTTGCATACAACTGGTTATTTGCACATAAAATATAAACACAGAGTCAATGGGATTGGCTTTTCTATATAAACAAACTAAACAAAACAAAAAATCTATAAAATCTATTAAATTAAACACAAAACAATTTAATGGGTTTTTTTTGTTGTTCATTCAATACAACAAAATTATAAGTTAAAACATTTAAATATTAATTAGTGCCAACAAGTGTCCAAACTATTGTATATTACATTATTTATTATTAATAATTTAATTTAAATTAAACCTGTAGTCTTAAATACAAATTCAAACTTTTTTCCCAAAAAATAAATAAATAAAATAAAATAACTAACAATTTTTTCCCTAGAAAAATCTACCTGTATAAATTACTATAGTATTTAAACTATCAAAAAACAAGCATTTCAAATATTTTTCTATATAATGTACAGTATATATATATATATATATATAAATGCAAACAAACTCATAAAATTATTTTGAGCCAAAAAAATAAAAAATAAAAATATTTTAAAGATGACTAACCGGAAAATGTTTAGCAAAAATTTGATAATAGTTTTACACTTCAAGATAACTGACTAAACTATGTGTGTGTGTGTGTAATACACTGTCTGTATTGATATATGTACAGTAAGTTTAGTCAGTTGAATCAATTACAATACCTATACATACATACAGTAAATATAGTACTTMTATATAAATTATAACAACAATTATTTCAAAATACATACAATAWATATATATATTGCCATAAATATTGCTAAATATCATGTTATGACATATCATAGATTAACATATATTTTATTTATTTATTTATTTCAAAGTTTATAGACATACCTGTCAATTCAATAACTGATACTAAATTATATGCTAATATATTTAAACACATTAATATTTATATATGCATTTACATGGTACAGTTAATCAATTATACTTTATAATATAAAATTTATTTAATTTTTTTTTTTGTGCAAATATTTTATAAAAATTATTTAATTTAGTATCTAAAGTAGTAATTTTTATTATTATTTTAAATTATTTTAAAAATGCGTCTATAAATTGGATAATTTATCAAAATAAGTTATATATATATATATATGATGGACAATAATTTATCTAACAATTTAAACATCAACTAGTATATTATTAACTATCTATTTTTAAAATTTTTTATTTATAGATAAAAACAAAAAATTAAATCTAATTACAATTGATGCCCACATATATATATATAATTTAGTGATTGCGGGATACATCTAYTTAAAAAAGTTAGTGCACTATTGATAAACTCTAAAATTACTTTATTTTATCAGTTTTATTATATAAACCTTTTTTTTATTATTATTCACTCAATTTTTATGTATATTTATTAGTGTGTATGTATGTGTGGGAAGTCTATTAAGTTATTTTTTTCCAAATGTGTTTTGATAAATAACAAAAATAAATAAAATTGAATTTAATATAAAATATAAATTATCTGTATACATATACAATATAATTTCATATATATATTTTATTATTATTATCACCAGTTTATTTCAAAAAACCTTTATTACAACTTAATTTTCACGTAAATTCGCTTTTTGTTTGTTTTTTGTTAACATTATAATACAGTAAAAAAACTGTATTTAAAATACAGGAATTATCATTATGTTTCAATAGTCAAGGCTTTTCATTTAAATTACATTTACTAATAATGGTAATAACAATAATAATAATAATAATATTTTAATTTATTAATATGAAAACACAAATAATACATTATATATTCAACAACAATAATAAAATAAGAGTCAATTATATACATATATATATATATATGTATGTAATTTATCTACTATACAATATAACTTTTGCTAAATAACTAATTTTATATATATGGTTATACAGGTGATAAAAAAATATATAATCAATAAGCTTAACACTTAAAAACACTTATATATATACTATATAAATGATTATGGTATCAATGATTTATATAATAATTTAAATTTTATATACATTATCTTATAACACAAAAAAAAACATATTTAAAAATATCGTAACCGACAAAACTAATTGAAATAATTAATAATAAAAATAAATAAATTCATAGAGTATTATTAAAAAACATATAATAAATAAAATTTTTAAAATTTAAAAATAATAATAAAAACTATAACTGTTTTTATTATATAAATATAAACCAGAGGTCAACAAAACATTTGTCACATAATTTAGAGCATTTGATACAATCAATTGCTTTCACTACACACACACACTCACAAAAAAACTAAATACAATAATAATAAATAATAATAATACTGAAAACATATATAATGAAAAAGTTTTATTAACTTTTTTGTTGTTTGTATAAAACGATTTTTAAAAAATATATGTATTCTATACAATATTATTACTAAAACAAAAATAAACTAAAAATATCGGTTGCTTTCAATTAAATTAATTGGTTTACAATTTGGTTTATTGGCTATAAACCAATAGTATTATTATAATATAAAAATATAATTTAAATAATAAAATTGTATTTTTAATTAATTAAAACCTGTACATATAAATTTATAACCTCAATCATAATCTAACTTATTTTAAAAAATTAATATAAAATTTTAATAAATTTGCTTATTTATTAAATTAAGAAATAAATTCATGTATTAAAATTAATTTACACATTTACTAAATATAAATATTATAATATAAATATCATATTTTTTTAGTAAAACATCAAATAATAAATTCAATAATTTTGTTGTTGTTGAATAAAATACCTGAATTTTATCATTGATATTAAATAATTTTAATATTTATTCAATTTTTCATTTAGTTGTATATTATCGATGAGATCAAGTAATTAATAATAAATAAAAATATCTGTAAATTTAATTACAATTATTTATTATTATTATTATTACAAAAAAAACTATATATCATATATAGTTAGATCTAACTGTCCCTAAAATATATCATATAATCGTTAAGTATTTTTTGGGTTTAAATTTTAGGGACATTTAGATATAAAATAGTTTTTTTGTTGTAAATAATAAATAATTGTAATTAAGTTTTTTAGATATTTTTAAAAATAAATTTATAAGATATTAATATTATATAAAACCTAATGGATAGTCAGTCAAATCAATTAATAATAATAAGTAAACAATAGTTACAAACCTCGACCCACCCGTCCCTCGGCGGCTAAACCGTTAACGGCCTGATGATCATCGCCGACACCACCGACGGCACCGACACTGTCGGCCATTGATGTGATCCTACACTCGGCCATCAATGCATTGACGATTTAGTGGTGACAATGCAATACATCAGACACTGGATCCGATCCAATCAATCAATTAATCTCTAATAGACTCAGTCAGTTGAGTTGAGAGGACAGTTGTGTCAAAACAAAAAACAGGTAATGTTGTTGTTATGAGGTTTTGATTGCATAAACACATAAAGCACTGACTTTTTTGTTGTTGTGTTGAAATGTATTACAAAAAAAAACACAACAAATGTTTTATTATTTATTTATTATTATTTTTTTCACAGAGTTTTTGAGCCCAAAACCAAAATCAAACGCTTCAATGAATACACTGTTTATTGTTTGTGTCGATTACAGTGTAGTAATAATAATACAGTACTCTATTGAGTCAACTCTCAACACAACAATTAGTATACACTGTATTACATGCATTGACGTAAACTAGAATCGAGAAAAAAATAATATTATTAAAACTATAAAAACCAAACCGAATATATTTACAACAACAACAACAACAAAAATAATACAAATAAATTCAAAATTAAAATAAATTTTAACAGATTATAATACTAAAAAAATTTTTAATTAAATAAATAATTATTTTTATTTTGAAAAAAATTAATCCAATTAATTAAAAAAAATTCTATTTAAACCGTACCCATTTTTTTTTTGAAAATAATAGTTGACCCATCTAGTCGCTGTTTGACAATACACAATATTAGTGTGCATTGCATATCTAGAATGACAAACTATACAGAGGTTCTACCTGTATAATACAAAAATAAATTGTATAATTTAGAGTCATAAATAAATTTAAAATAACATATTAATTAATTAAAAAAATTTAAAAATAATTGACATATGGCCTAAAAAATAATTATTTAATTGATAGCTAAAATTTTAAAATACAAAATTTATAGTGTAATCTACAGGTATATAAAAACTATTTGGTTAGTCTATTGTTTAGTTATAATGTTTAGTCAACTGATGGCAGTAACTGTACAGTACTGTAGAATGAAACTTAATAACATTAGCAATAAATAACGTTATATTTTTTATGCATTATTATTATTAAAACACATTAAATACATTGTAAGTTACAATTTGTAACTAATACAAAAAATTTTAGGGTACAATATATTGACGTACGTTATTAATGGATTGTTTGTTTACTAATTTTATTATATAAATAAAACAAAAATTGATTGCAATTTGCAATTTCACTGTTAATATTGCAATAATAATAATCCATTGATTTTATTGTATGTTTTTCTTCTATACATTTCTATAGGAAATAAAATAAACAAACAAAACGTATTAACGATAAACAAACAAAAAAGTGATAAACCATTTGATAAGTCAATCGCCGACTATTGGACTGACTGACTGACCAACCGATAGTCTGGTCAGCGATTTGTTTACTTATTTTTGTTTAAACTCCCGAACTTGTCTAGTGTTGGCCACTACTTGTCCGCAACAATTATGGTGTGCATACCGTGTTTCATAGCACCCGTACTGATATTCGTATGGTTCAAGTTTATCGAGCCGTTACTGCGGCCACTGGTGGCCCGCATATGGGACAACTATCAGCTGCCGAACCCGTTCGCCAATCTGACCTGTCCTATGCCGCAAAAACCCGGCACAAAAGGAGTTACGGCCACCACCACCACCGATGCTGCCAAGTGTCCCGTTGCGCACAATACGGCCACTACCGATGCTGCTACGGCAGAGCCGACGGCTCCCGAGTCGGCCACTGTTGACGAGTCGTCCGGCGATCACAAGAAAGAGTTATAGAAAAAATATGTTTTTAATTTGTTGTTTTGTTTTTTAATTAAACAAAAATTATTTATTAATTTTTTTGTTGTTGGTATTTATTATATTGTGACCAATTTTTTTTTAATTACCATAAATTGTTTGTCCATTTAAACTGTTGCTACAGATATTGCTTAATACATAATAATAATAATAATATAAACCGATTCACACACACAAAAAATGTTGTATTTGTTTGTTCATTGCTTTGATATAGTTTACAATAGTTTTAAAAAACTAACTAAAAGTTTATATTTAACTAAAAGTTATTATACTTTATATTATATGATTAAACAATCGTATTATAAACTGTATTAATTTTTTATTTGCTTGTAAATGATTTTGTGATTATATTAAAATTAAAAAAAATCATTTATAATAAAACATTTTTTAAAACTCTGTATTATGGTAATTATTTTTAAAAAAAATCAAATTAATGATTAATTCAAAAAAAATATATAACTTATAATTAATTGAGAAAAACTAATATTTTATTATACAAAAATAAAATGATAGTCCAAATAAAACAAATGTTACTTTTCGATAGCATTTCAACAAAACAGTCAATAATATATTTATAATAAAAATTCATTATTTTTATTCATATTTATTGTTTGTTTAATTTATATGACTGTAGAAATAGTTTTTTTTAGAAATAGAAAACACACAAAAAAAACAATTTTTAAAGAGTTTATATAATTTAATGAACAATTTTGTTTGCATTGCATTGCATGTGACAAAACAAATTATAAAAAAATTAACTAAAACAAAAAAACAACTATTTTTACTGTAAGAAAATAGTTAATAAACATAATTATTAAGAAATTATGTTTATTTTGCTTTAACTATATTTACTGTATATAAATTGAACTTAAAAATTTGTTTAATTTATTTTTTGACTTTTTTTAAAAAAAAGAAAGAAAGATAGCGATGGTGTTTTGTTGTTGTTGTTGTACCTCATCTTCCTCCTCATCATCGGATGGCAATGAGTCCCGATTCCATCAGTTTGTAGATCTTTGACTGTATCTCCGGGTTCTTCAGATGTCTAGAGARAGAGAGAGAGAGAAAAATCCAAATGATTTCAAACAAATACAACAACAAATAATCAATTATTTAAATAAAATCAAGCAATCCATCAATCAATTTGGATCGTTTCCCATACTCTTGGACTGCTTTGGGATCAGTTTGCATCTGTTCCAATATCATTCTCATTGCCGGATCGCCCAGAATCTGTTGAACCTCTGGATCAGCCATTGCTCGTTTGCGTGTCTCTTCGGGATTGGATCCGGTGCTTAGTATACACTTTTTGAAGCCATCCATAGCTTCCTAGAGAATCGTACGGTTTTTTTATTTAATAAAAAAATATCAATTAAAAAAAATCTTTGATAAAAATTATCGGGTGATTCCGACTCCAAAATCATCCAATGAAATACCTGATTATTTTTATCGATTTCCATGGCCTTCTCAAAGGCTGTCTGGGCTTTTGAAAACTCTTTGCACGCCAACAGTGCATAGCCTTTACGGATGTGTCCCTTAACTATCGTACAAAAAAAATAATGATAATAATAGATGTTTAAGAAATTTATAAAAAAAAAACTGATTATTAAATGATAAACTATTTGGTTAATTATTTAGTTATCAGTTTTTTTTAAATTACGGGTAATTACCAAATTCCGGTTCCAATTTAATACATTGTTCCGAATCTTTGACCGCCAATTGAAATTCGGCCAACTTTTGATAACACGCGGCCCTATTGGAGAACAGTTTCGCGTCTTCGGGATTGCGTTTAATGGCTTCGCTGTAATGTTTTATGGCATTGGGATAATCACCTACAAAACAAAACAAAAAAAACATCCAGATAAATTATTTTTATTTGTCTATTAAATTTTTTTCTAATCAAATCAAAACATAATATACCCCGGGTAATTATTTACGGGTACAATATTTTGTTATTATTATTATTATTACCTTTTTTAAAAAATTCATTTCCTAAATTCTTCTGCTGTAAAGCCACTTCTGGATCAATATAAGCGAGTCGTTCCTTCTCTTTGAGTACCTTTTCGATCTGCAAATACAAAGACAAACAAAAAAATGGTTATCATTTGGGATCAGTTAAACCCTCTATCGTTTAAGTGAGGGATTCATATAAGTTAGTCCACACACACACACATACTTCAGACAATTTGGACAGTGTTTCGGGCGTCCGGTGTTCGGTCAATGACTTCTGGTAGTAGGTCTTAGCGTTGGCCAAGTCGTCGAGTTTCTGGTAGGCGTTGGCCATTCGGGTATAAGCCCTTAAAACAAAACAAAAAACACATGTATTAATAGATAGAAATAGATCCAAAAAAACGGATCCCAATTACTTGGCAATAATCTTGTAGTCCTGACGATTCTCTCGGCCAATGTCTACGGCAGTCTCGCACTCTTTCACACACTTATCGTACTCTTTGAGCTCAAAATGGACGGCCGCCCGATTCAAATAGTAGGTCATTTCGTTTGGATCCAATTCAATGGCCTTCGAGTACTGTTCGATGGCTTCGGCAAACTGTTTCTTCTTGTAAAACTCGTTGCCAACAGTTTTGGCCGACAATGCCTTTTCATAATAAACAAACAACAAAAATAATTGATCATTGATTTCAAATAAAGACAAAGATATAATGAGATTTCGATGTCATTAATACACCCGAATAGAGGGCACGTGTTTCGGGCAATAATGACCTGACATTTCCCGAATCATATCATCCATCGGATGGTATCGGCGTTTAGACTTACGGCTTGTTTGTTGTCATCACTCATATTGTGTCTGTGTTTGGATGTGTTGACTGTGGTATTGAAACAAACAATTAGATGACGATATGTTGTTTATTTGATGGTTACAAAAAAAACGGGTGACCAGTTCAGTGGTGGATCAGATGAAAGACAATTAATTAATTAACAAAAACAATGGTCTGATTGAAAGTACAATTCAATTATTATTTGATAGACTTTTTTATTACAGTCTATTAGTTAGTATTACTGTATATCTCTATTGCCATACAATAATTCAATGCCTTTTAATATCACACAAAAAACAATACATAAATACAGTGTTATATTATTATATGTTTTTTTTGGAGAAAATTCGAGACTTTATTATTTTTATCATACATTTCAATACATTTTACACATACAGTATGTTTTCCACCCCTTGACGTGTATCTAACCGGCAATACCTGTCTGCTATGCGCACACTCTATAGATAGGGGCGCCACTACTGTACCGCTGCTAATACATTAGGGTTACGGTTGAAAATAGTTATTAATTTATTTATTTAAAAATTAACTACCGGTGCTCTGCACTGTTCAATATGTTTACTATTTTAGAAAAGTTTTATATATAAATAATCAGTAAAATAAGCCTAGCTAATTTTTGTTTTGTTTTTAAAAAATATAAATTTAATTGTTTGTGTTGTTTCTAAAGTATTATAGTGTTTTTTAAAAAAAAAGTTTTCATTTGTAATTTAATATTTGATCAGGTAACAATTTCTATAACTTTTATTAAAAAAACTGTTTATAAATAATATTATAGATGGCGTATATATATATATATACTGCTGATTATATAACTTATATTACGGTAATTAAAAATTATTATAACTTTTATCATATAAGTTATAATAATTTTTAATTAATAATATTTTTTTTGTAAAAAAAATTATAAACCATGATGACAATTTTTTGAAAATAAAAATAATAAATTTATCATTAGTATTATTTATCCAATATTTTTTGTTTGTTAAAATCTTTATGTCTAAAATTGCCAATTTAAAAAAATGTTTATCATACTACCATGTAGTTATAACTTTTATTATTATAATATTATAATATTAAAAAATTAAGTTTATTATGAAAAATAATATATAAAGTTTTAAAGAATATTGTTTTAAAAAAAAAAATATTTATAATTTGTCTAAACGTATACAATATATGACAATATAATATGTATATATTTATATATATATTTAAAAAATTAACATTATTGTTACTCAGGTAACAAACATAAATAAATAAAAGTGCTTTTTTAATATATTTGTGATACAATTATTGGAAAAAAATTGTTGATTAATCTCACTAGAGGTATAATAATAATAATAATAGTATAATATTAGTATTATTATTAATAAATAAATTATATGTATAAAAGTTTATTTTTATTTGCTATAATGTTATTAGATATATATATTGAATATATTTTTTTTATTAATATTATTATTATCAGTAGTAAAAATACTATTAAATTCTATTATTCAACATTTAAATGCAATAATATATACTCAGAAAAAGTTTTTTCTACAAAAAAATTCCTACACTTTTTGTATTTAAATGTTTAAATTTTTTGTAATAAATGATTTTTCTTATGTTTTTATAGTGAATTAAACTGATGTTATATAATATTTATATTATAGAATATTCTTATACGATAAATATTTTATAATAATATATTATTAATTATAATTATTATATTATTGTTTAATTTACATTTTATATATGTATGTGTTAGATAAATATTATATATCTATGTATTGTATAATTAACAAGAAAACAGTTTATTAAATTATTTATTTATTAGTGAGTTTTGTTTTTTGTTTGTAAAAAAACATTTAGTTTAATTGCATAATATAGATATGTCAACATTAAAACAAAATAAAAAAGTATAATACCAGTATTTATTAATAAATAAAATTAATGGTTTAACTATATCATCTGAGAAACGTAAGTTAATTAATTTTTTAAATATATGTAAAAATTTTAAACTATTTTATTTATTATAAATTATTATATAAGATTAGCAAAATAATGTTTAATAAGAAACTACATTGTAATATATGTTTATATATATTGTGTATAAAATGTTAATAATAATTTTTATAAAGGTATTGTTAAATGTTATCTAATAATAGTAACCAACAAATTCATTGCCAATTACAGTACATGAGATAATTAAATTTTATTGTTTATCGATGATGTCTAGCCATTAGACTTATGATTACTGTCATAGCTATAGGAAATATATATATATTATTAATGCCTATCTTTCTCTTTAATTTTTTTCTTTATCATACAAAATAAAAATTAGTAATTTGTAACAAATATTGTAACAATTTATATAGTTTTATTGATATAATAATATTATTATTACATTTAATAAATAGAGAATATTTATTATTATTTTTTTAAAAAATTAGTGCAATATTTATTAATATTATAAATCATAGCTAAAGGAAATGTCAATTTAGGTAATAATTTTTGTTTTTACTTTGATTATTGGGTTAACAATATATATATATATATGTTTTATACACCTATAAGTATATCTGTATATTATATATCATGTATTGTATATGTAGAGGTATATATCTATACAGGTATAGGTATATATATATAAAGTATAATACAATAAGCAAATGAACAAATCGATGGACAGACACATTACATAGTCATACATAAACTGTATAGACATTAAAGAATCAGTTGTCACGAATTCCTATAACCATATATACAGTATATACTGTACATACATAGACACATACCTGTCCCACATTACAGTATGTTTGTGTACTAAATTTTTATATGAAAATTATATCTGTACAGTATATAATATATACTGTATAATATACCTTTTAATGTGAATAAAATAATAATAATAATAATATATAATTTTTTGTTGTTAGTATCTATACTAAAAACTATAACTAGATTTAACCCTATTTTTGCAATATCAATATACAAAATATAAGATAGATTTTTTATTGCATTTATTTTTATTATTATTATTAAAGCTATAATACCGTATATATGTTAAAATATTACCCATTTATCTGAATATTAATTATTTTAATTCATTAATATTTTATAAGAATTGGCTAATAAAAAAACCAAATTTTATGAACATTTTTCATATATCATTTAATTGTTGAATAATTAATATTTTTGTAATAATTATCTTAAATATATTTTTTTCAATATACTAAATAATGTATAATTATATTGTAATTTTTAAAATAAAATCTAATTAATTCAAATGACAACTGAAAAAAAACTATAAAATTAAAATACTATATAATATATATAAATTTATTATGAAATATACATATATATATATATATTGATAATAATATAAATTTATATATTACCGTTAGTTATGATAAATGATTTTTTATTATAAAAGTTTTTTGTTTTGTTTTGTCTAGACAATTATTTCTATTATTAAAAAAATAAATAAAACAATTGCATAATAGTTATAATTTTGATAAATTTTTTTCTGGGCTTAAAAATTGTATTAATACATATATACAGTACAATCTAACATATATTTAATTTGCTATAATATAGTTAAACAAGTAAATCAATATCTAATATTGTACTCAATTATAACCTTGATTTTTATTTTATAAATGATGATAACATTGTGTCGATATTAATCTAATTGATGTTAATAACTAAGGTATATATATATTGTGATATATATTTATAGTAAATTAATAATTGAAATACGACTCCACCAAAAAAATAACCCAATCTATTAATATCTATAATTTAAAAGACCTAATAATCATTAATCAAATTTTTTCAATGTTTCCAACAAAAACAAAAAAAAATCTTTTATGATAACATATAGCATATATTTTTTACTTTATCTATAATTTTTATATTATAAAGTTTTTTCWAAAAAAATTATATGAAAAGTTCAGTATATTAAAATAAGTTACTATTGAAATACATTGTACATTATGTAAAGTATAATAAATAAATAATTTATATACTATTATACAATATTAATAAATTATATTATGATTAGTGGAAGATTACTCACTATGATTGTAATAAAATAATTATTTATTAATAAACAACTTTTTAATGTTTACCCATATAACTTAAAATATATACATGTAGATATTAATTAATTTTTTTTTAAATCATAATATACATAAAATAGTGAAATTTATTGAAATAAATACGGTATTAATTTATACTACTTGAAATATAATTTGTATTATTATTTTGAACAATTATGAATATCTTTAAATATATATATTTTTAAAATAATCAAAAATTCATATAATTGCCAATAGTTATAATTGTAAATTTTTAATTAGATTTTTTTAATTGAGTTTATTATAAAAAAATAATTAAAATTATATATATAATACATTATAATTCATGTAATTTGTGTTATAACTAACAAAATGATCTTAATTTTAGATAATAATGGAAAAATTTTTTGTATCTACATTAGCATTATACATTACATAATAATAATACTCAACCAAGCTGATATTAAAATAAAATGACCATTTTATTATAATAAAAAAATAAGTAAAAAAATTGTAAAAATATTTAGAATATGTTTTATTTTTGTTCAAAAAAATTTTTTTATGCAACTTTTTATTTATTTATTTCAAATTGTTAACATAATGCATAAAAGTTTTTTATTATTATACTGGTGCTAATATATATTTTTAGTATTTTATTTGTTTGCTACAATGTATTGTGAAAATCAAACTTATAGTTTGAACACATACAACAAAAATAAAAAATTATATTTTTAAAAATTATTTTATCCACATTTTTTAGGTGAATATAAAAAAATGAAATTCAATTTTTTATTTTTGAAAGTAAATGGATATCAATAATGACATTCCTCAGTGAAAAAAAAATTATTATAACTGTATGTCCATTGGATGTACACATTAGGGTATACTATTGCTGTACTATCATATAAAATATTTGAATCACAAATACCTGTACTATTATATTATTATATAACAATAACAATGAAGTGCTGGCAAATAAATTAAATGGCATTAAACAACATATAGTATATATATGAGTGCCGTTTCACAGGAAAAACGTGTGGCTAATAGACATAACTTTATGATATACATTAATATATTGTAATAATAATAATAATAATATTTTTGAATTAATAGTACTGTATAGTACAGTACATTATATACAGTACTAGTGGACTGTTAGCAAAGTTTTTCCAGTTTGCCAGTCACTGATATAGACACGCCATTATCACTCAACATGCAATTCCCAGTATAGTATATACAGTATATACCCACCTATACTAACATACTAGTGCCGGCCATCAACTGTTTGAGCACAAACTCAATGAGAGATAGTTTCACTATGTTTTATGTTGAAAAAATGACATAATTCTCCTTTAGGTATATATATGTAATACATATTATGTATACTCAATACTGTACATGTAGGTGTGATGGCATACCTGTGATAGTAATATCCACACCACACACACACACACACACACACACACACATACATACAGCACACATATATACTTTACACATGCATTGCATACCCATACATGTGGGTTACACTAACCTACCCATAGAAATGAGTTACAGAATATTCTGTGTTTTATTTTAGTTTGTGTGTACATTGTGTGTATGTATATATAATGTTAAACTTTAGTGCATTAAAAAACATTAACACAAATTAAACTTACATTTTGTTATTATTTGTAATAAACTAAAAGTTTAATAAAATTTAATAGTAATGTTGCGGATATAAAATGGCATATTTATATATATATTTTTAAACAAAATAAAGTCTAACATATTATTTGTTATCAAATAAAATGTATATAAAACTATTTAAAAACTTTTAGTTTAATTAATAATAAATTCAATCATTAAAATGATCGGTAAGTTTGGATTTTCATCTAATTATAATATTTGACTATTTTTTCGGTATTTAAATTAACTATACGAGTATAGATTGATTATTAAGTATATATATATAATGTATATTTATTATATACTTTAGATTATATACTTTATTTTGTAATTAATAATCATAAATCATAAAATGAAAACCAATAAAATATAATTTACTAAATTATATATAAGTGTATTTTATAATGTTTTTATATATACATTAATTATATATAGAAAGTAACTGTCTATGTATAATTATAATTAAATTTTGTTAATTACCTAAACCATTAAATACAAAAAAAATTCAAAGTTGATTATGCAATCAAATAATTAAAAATATTTTATTTTTTAAAAAAGATATTGTTAATTTAATGATATGTTTGTCTATAAATTATCTAAAAAATAAACTGAACATTGATTTAACAATTATATATTACTATATAATATAATAACTAATATATTTATACTGTATAAACTTAAATATTATTTTACTTTAGTCTATTAGTATTAAATACAAAAAAACCAAATAGATGTATACAGAGAAAAAAATAATAATAATAAAATCATTGACTAATAAATTATTTAAACACCAAATGCAACGATTGACTGCATTTAGGTTTTTATAGATGTGTGTGAGTGTGTATTGAAACCCACTGTCAATCAATACCTGTCCCTATTATTCTGTGCTAAAAAAACAAATGTTAACTATTATATTAATATATACAGTAAAACAATAATATATAGATATCTATATATTTTGACGGCATTTATATTAATACACAGTATTAATATATATATATATATATATATTTTTATTTAATCAAGTTAAAATAAAGTTACCCAATGATGATAGCATACTGTATAATAATTTTTAATTAGCATAATAGCATTGATAGTCAATATAAATATTTGAAATTGTAATTTTTTGTTATTATTTTTATAAGTTATACTCAATACATAAAGTAATTTCTTTGTTTTAATACAGTTATTGACTTTGATTGTTATTTTTAGTAACAAATGTAATTTTAAATTGTATAAAATATAGTTATTTTTGGTTTTATATAGTTTACAATAGTTTAATCTCTAAAATTTCAATCTACATCAAACAATTATAAAAATTACAATAAATAATTTGATATTAAATATTATCAATATTAGAATATATTTATATATTAAATAAATTTTTTAAATAATATAATAATTTGAATATTATTTTCTAAGCAGTATTAACAAACCTTTAGATTAAATAATTAATTAATTAATTGTATGAAAAATTTAATATCTTTTTTAAAAAAATAAAAAATAATTTACATTTAATAATTTTTTTTAAACGTATTATTTTTTCATGACAATATTGATGCAATCGATTATACCGTTTATTGTAACCATTTATTTTCAATGAACCGATTTTATTTAGTCAATCAACTATTGATTTTTGTCAGAAAATTGCATTTTTATCAGTGAAATAAAATTTTTGAAATAAAATAAAATAAAATTACATACATATCTGTATTAGTTTTGACAAATACACAAAGTATTATTGGATATATTGCTATAATACTGTAATAATATTGTATTTGTATATATTTATTGGAAATACAATATATTATACTATTTTAAAATATATAAACTTTTTTTTACAATAAAAATAAATGAGTTTATAAACCAAATAATAATGTAAATGAAACTATTTTGAACTAAATTATTATTTTTCAACTAAAAAAAATGTAACTTATATTTTACTAAATTATTATTAATTTTCTATTTTAAAATTCTCATAGATTTTATATACGGTTTATATAATTATTTGGTGTTGACTTTGATATAAAACTTTATTATAAATTTATATAAACTCTATATTTTTGTTGTTGACTACTTGTGCGATAACATGGTTTAAGATAACCATTAGTAACCATTGGTTAAAATAAAGAGATCAGATATACTGTACATCACATCACTGGTCATCAGTCAGTTAGCCAGTTATGGGTTGTGGCGCCTCATCGGCCGTACAAATAGCTCCCATTAACGACAACGATGTGATTACCAGTAATGCCATCCAATCTATCGATAGCAATGGCAATAACAAAGTCAATACCATCAATGGTTATCCACCGGGAAAGGGAGGAAAGTTTGGATTGTTTGCCGGATCAACAAAAGTACAGACAATTTATAATAATAATAATAGAGAAAAGTCGCCGACCGAGTCGTCGATTGGCGTATCGATTGCCATACAGACCAACGAAAGTGATTTGATTTGTTTTCGTCATGTGTTCGCACAGACGGACATACAGTTTGCCAGCGAAGACGAGTTGGATCTCACAATAGCCAATAGTGATACAGAATTTGTGGACAGTTGTGGTGGTGGTGTACTACTCGTTGCCAATAATGATTCAGATAATAACTACTATACAAGTGCTTCCCGAAATAATAGTGCCGGTGGTGGTAGAGATAGTAGTAGTGGTGGTGGTGGACACCATCATAGAACTGCTGCCGCCGTTTTGGACTACTCTTCAGCCGATGTGATGCCGATGACTACCGGTGCCGATGAAGTAAACAAAAGTGTTTCGCTACAGACAGATGAGTCTGTGCTTAGTAGTAGTGGTCGAAAATCGGCAAACAGTTCAAAGAGTAGAACCGGTAGAAACCAACAGCAAACAGTGGTCAACATCAATGTAACTATCGATGTGGGCATACAGGTTCAGATACCCAAACATACCAGTGCTACACAAACACGATTCAGCTATGCCAGCAGCAAAACCAAAAACAAATTAGTGCCAAAATTTTGTACCACATCCACAACACGCCGACACCCGCAAGCGGTCCTCCGTAACGCCATCAGCACTGTTGACATTGAAAGTCATTACCGACTGTGGACATCACCACCGCAGACGTCCGCTGGCGGTCTGGCGGCGGCGGCGGACACTGTTAGTGACAATATCAATAGCATTAATATAATACCGTTTAATACGAATAAAACAACACTAATTGGTGTTACCGACGGCACCAACATTTTGCAAGATATCGAGTCGCAGACCGAACCACTATTTTCATCGATATTGGCGGCCAATTCGGCCGGCAATGACCTAACAGTATTGCAGTCGTACGACATAACCTCACCGTTTGCTCACATAGAGAAAGAGTTGCTTCAAACCACCCGAAATCATAGGAACCGTATACCCGATCATAGATTGGATGCCTTCACCCGATTGTTGGACGACATGGATGACGACAATGTTCAACACAAACTACAATTAGGTATCTCTATTGAAAACTATTGATTTTGATTAATTGATTACTTATTTTAATATCATATACTAAATTAGTGTATTATAAATATATTATATTTAATATAACTGAAGTTTTTAATTACTATTTACTAAAATTTTTAATTAAAAAAATTATTTTTAATCGATAATAATTTATATATTATAAATTATAATAATTACTAAAAATGTTTTAAATAGTATTTTTTTGTTAATTTTTTCAAAATTGAAAAATACAATAGATAAATTATTTGGTAAATAGTGAAATAATAGTTATAAATATTTAAAATATAAAATATCCAGAGTAAATAATTATTTAACTATTATTATTAATTGATAAAATTTAAATGTTTTATTTTTATTTTACTACCCGTTACAGTAAAATAAAAACAATTCAAATAATTAAATACAGTATAGAGATAATGCATAACATTATAAAAAATTAATTTTCATTATATTAAATTGCAATTTGAAAATCATATTTTTTATGGTTGTCTATATGTGATGATAATTGTAAAAAAAAAATAATTAGAAAAAATATTTCGCAATTTAATAAAAAAAATGGTTTTCGCATTAATATAAAATATACTTTAGTACTGTATATATATATATATAATACAGTATATTTAATATATATTTTATGTTTAATAATAATAATATTATCTGATTTCATAATAATACTAATAAAACAAATATTTATGTCTAATGTTTAATTATTAAAAAAAACTATACCATTTAATTAATTATTGTATTTGTTTTAGACGTAATAATAATAATATTAATGAATGTTTTTTTTAAAAAAATAATTACTATTTGTATTGTTATGCTTTCTTATGGTTTAAATACCAATTAGCATAAAAGTTAGAGATATTCAAATTAATTAATGATATTTTTTATATGTCATTAAATAAATATTTAAAAACAATAATTAAACTTATATGCCTATTATTAATCAATTGATAATTTTAAAAATAAACTTTTTTAATTTTAATAATGCATTAAAACTATTAATCATATATATAAAACAAATTGATTATAAGTTTTATGTATAACTATAGTTTTTTTATTAACAAAATATTATTAATTTTTTAAAAATTCATATCAATCAGATAATTTTTCATATATTTTTGTAATAAATAAAGTAATGATAGCTTCAAAAAATTATTATTATTATTTTCAATATATTTTGCATATTTTAGTAATGATAGCACGTTATAAAACTAACTATTGATAGAATTATTATAATTTACTAACAAAAATAACCAGGATAATTTGAATCTAAATATATACAGTATATTGGCAATGATTATAACTATATAGTTTTTATTATACTGTACATGAAATATTAGTAATAATAGTAATATATATATATTACTAGTTTAGTGGTCAAAATATCATTTTCATTTACTATAAGTCACGCTAACAACAATTATTAACAATAAAACCACTTTTGTTGACATATAATTGACAGTTTATATATATACCTATATTATGGCTTATTTTTTCTACAAATATTATATATATATATATATATATTATTTTGTCATATTTTTAATGACGCATACCTTTTTCTAAAGTAATTTATATATTTATGTGAAATAAATAAATAAATAATAGAAATACAGTTGTTTTCCTAGAAAAATATTTTCAATTATTGTAAATATATATCTATATAATAAAATAAAAAATATAGCAAAAATTTCAATTGAAAGTCAATCACTGATATATTTGATATATTATATTTGACTTAAAATATAGAAAATGTTATATATATTTTTTATTAATATTAATATTAAATAAAAATAATAAATAAATAAAAGTTTATTTTTTATTGTAAATTATAACGTTTTTTGATTTATAAGTTATATCGGAAACGTGAAATACAATTTTAATTTGCATACTATATATTAATATTTTTATGTAATAATATAAGCTATAATAAAAAAAACCTATATAACTATATTTTATATTATAAAATATTAATTTATCAATAGTATTAATAATAATAAGAATAATAATACTGTATTATAAAGTACATTGAATATTGATTTATTATATTTTAATTGCTATCGAGTTTGTCATGCATTTTCCACATATTACAGTACATACACAGTATACTGTATTAATAATAATAATAAAAATAAAAAATAATTGTAAATCCATTTCAATAATATTTTTCCGATAATATATATATATATAAATTTATATATATATTACTGAATATGTGTTTTGTTTCGAGATTCAGTCAACTTTTTTGTGTCGCGATTGTACTGTAAATGAGTTTTACTATGAAATTGAAACGAAAAAAATACATTTAAATATTAATATTAAATCTAGATTTTTTATTTGACTGAAATGCAACTTATAATTGATAATAAATTTAAATAATTTGATCTTTTAAATTAATATAATTTTTATTATGTGATTTTTTTTGTGGGGTATAAACTAAGAAAAAATATTTTAAAAATTTATTTATTTGTTTGCGATTAGATTATTGTTTGTCTAATTATGATAATCGTATAGTCATTGCAAATAAATTAATATTAACGACAAATATTATGATAAATACAAGTATTTCTGTATATAAAATATGATACATTAATCAAATTGTATATATATTTTTAAATAATTCATGAATTTAATATAATAATCGTCTATTTGACTAATGTTGTTATATTACATAATATACTTTTTTTAAAATATAAATATATATATTATTAAATACATTAATACAGAATATTGTGTTTAATAAATAAATAAATAAATAAAACAACAAAATTAATGTCATTGTATTAGTAGTTCAAAAAATATAAATTATTTTTTTTGACTGACAATTCAAACAATTAAAATAAAATGCAAAAAATGTTTTGCGACACCTTTTATAGTCCTTATCTTTTTTCACTGTATGTTCAACAACAACGCCAACACAACCATCCAAATGATGACACAATAACACCAACAACAACACCAACACCATCGTCGACAACAACAACATCATCGGCGTCGTCATCATCGACATCATTGTCGCCACAATTTTCGCCGACAATAGTTCCCAAATGCGATGCTTCCGTACAGACCGACAACGATATCTTGACTGACGAGTCGCCAGAGTTTGTGGCCCGACCGCCGCCGTGTCTCAAACGCGAAATGATTCCCACTATTCACATGTTTCGCGAGATTGACCGCCGAGTGGCCGATGTATGGCATAGTTATCATTAAAAAAATTAATATTTTGTTTTTTTTACAAAAAAAAACTTTTGTATTTATTTTCCCTATTAATCCCAAATAAATAAAAGGCACCAGAATTTGAAACAATACAGGAATTGGTTGACTATATATGCAAATCAACGAAAAACGATTTATACAAAGTTAGAGCTATATTCCGATGGATATCATTGAACATTAGGTTTGATTGGAAATATATGGGCATAACTATGACATCCAATGAGATACTCAAGTGCCGGGAAGGGGTCTGCAAAGACTACTGTCAACTGTTTGCCGATATGTGCCGTTTGACTGGTATTCGGGTGAAAAAAATTGATGGCTTTGCCAAGGGTCAGGACTATAGACCGGGTCATCAGTTTAAACCCGGTAGGCATTTGTCATAATTAATAAAGTACTATAATATATATTACTATAATTACTGTATATTTTAGTTATGCTATTAATTATAGTAGATGTATTATACAATGGATGTATATATATATATATAAAATGCTTCATAAATTATTTAGTATGCAATATATTATGTGTGTGTGTGTGTGAGAGAGAGAGAGAGAGAGAGAGAGAGAGAGAGAGAGAGAGAGAGAGAGTTTGTAATTTAATAAAATATTTTTTAATAATCATATATTTATTATATATATAATGTTTTTTAATATATAAATTAATTGCATTTTCCAGGAGAAGATATCACCCATACGTGGAATGCAGTGTTCATATTGAGCGCCTGGAGACTGATAGACACCACTTGGGGAACGGGCTATACGGAGCCGACCGGAAAGTTTCAGCGCAAACTTAATGAACATTTTTTCCTAACTGATCCCGAAGTTTTGATTTGGACACACTATCCGTACAATACTGTGGAAAACAATTACAGTAGGTATGTGTGTATATATATATATATATGTTTGGTAATATTTGTATTATTATTATTATTATTTACATACCTTTCCTAGACTTATCCATCCAATGACTGAATTTTAGTTTTATTGTATTGTTTTTTTTTTGGTGAAAATTTATAATGAATTTATTTAGTATAGTAATATAGTTTTTATAGTGGAAATAAATGAAATATTTATTAAAATAAATTTACTGCATTAATAATTTACTAATATTTTAATATTTTAATAATTTATATTTGTTAATGTTTACTATTTAAGTAATAGACTGTATACTATATTTATAACAATTATATAATTAAATTTTTTTTATATCTATTAAGTCATTATGTAAAAATAGTTTTCAGTTATTGCTATATAACTTAATATTAATTATAATCATAATTTTAATTATAATTTTAATTACAATATATTAGGAAAAAAATTTTTAGCATAAATGTTTACATAACTACTGGTGAATATAAAATTATTAGAAGTTTTTTTTATTTTGTTATGATTTTTTTTAGGTCAGTTCACTAGCCCTTCATAATTACATAACTAAACGTGAAATGAATATTATTATTATTATCACAATTAATACCAGAATATTCTCTCTCTCTCTCTCTCTCTCTCTCTCTCTCTCTCTCTCTCTCTCTCTCTCTCTCTCTACTTATATATGCAAAACATAACCTGAAGATRAAATCATTTTTAATTTATTAAAAATACTTGTTATCAGTTTAGTTGGAATTTATTTATTAATGAATTAATGAGTAAATAAATGATTTTTAAAAATTTAATGTTAGATATAAATTTATAATAATAATAATAATAAATATTCAATAATTTCTATTCAATAAACAGATGGCAATTGTTGGACAAACAGTTAACATTGGATGAGTTCAATGCATTGCCGAAAGTATCGCCAAATTTCTTTGATTACAATTTGAAGATACGCTCAAAACCGCAAAATCCGGTAATCTTTAGGATATCTACCGAAGTAAAGATCGGTTCCCACGAAGCCATGCGCTATAAATATAAACTTTATCCGTCGGACGAAATGGAAAACTCGTCGCTCAATCACTATGTGTTCTGTCAGCTCAAAGAGGACCGACTGGTCGGCAGTTTCGCAATTCAGCCGCCAATTGAGGGCCGGTTTTTCCTAAAGGTATGATTTGTTTTGATTTGTTAGGATCCGGTGGAGACTGTCTGGTCTCACCAATAAAAAAAATCATTTCTAATGTGTTTCATACGGACTGACTGCTCTCACAGATATTTGCCAAACCGGAACGGGAGATGCAGGACGGCCAACAGGACGCGACCAACTTGCATAACGTGTGTACATTTCTACTCGAGTGTAGCCGAGCCCGCAAATACATTGAACCGTTACCCATCAATGAGCTGCCATGGGGTCCCACCCAAACGTTTTACGATTTTCGGCTACGACTGCACAACCAAACCGGTCCAGTGATTGTTACGTGGGGCGGCCGTCGGCGATTGGTCATGGAATCAACTGAAACCCTACTCATGAGCTATACAATCTACGATGCGGACGGCATGGAAATGGACACTCGGAGTATAGTGACCAAAGACGACAACGGCAACAAGATTACGTTTACAATAAACCCGCCCCGAGTCGGTACATTCAAACTGATGATATTCGGTATGCCTAAGCCGAAACAAAAGGGCAAATGGCGACTGCCATTGTTGGCCACTTTTATGGTCGACTGTAAAATGATTAAACCGCCACAATATGATGACGACCCGACACCCATTAGTCTAATTGTGCCACAAAATGATGAACAACAACAACAACAAATGCAACAGAGGACAGGTAGTGTTTTATTTGTGGACAATTGATTTTCATATATGTTTGTTAATTAAAATAATTTTTTGTTAATTATTATTTTTTATTTATTCTCTATATTTTTTTAGGTAAACGATGAAGAAATAGCAATTTATTTAATTAATTATTAGAAAAGTAATAATAATAATAATAAACTACTTATAAAATCATCGAAATAAATATTATTAATTATTAATTAAAATTATATTATATTATAAATTATATATATATTAATATATAGTAAATTGTAAATTTGAAAATTAATTTTAACATTGAGAATTTTTTGAATTTAGATTTAAATATTACATTATAAATAATAACCATTAATCGCATTTTTTGTGTTAATTAAATAAAGTATATTATTAAAGTAAATTATAATCTGATTTTTTAAAAATAAATAAATAATTAAACATTTTGTTTTAAGCAAAAAAAAATAAAATATTATTTTCATTGATAGTAAAAATAAATTAATGAAATATTATTGTTACCAAAATTATTATCATTTAATTTACTGGTAGATATAAATTATTTTACAAACAATCATCCCTGAAATGGTGGTGAAGTGGGAGGGTTAAGGACATTATGTGTGTGTGTGTGGGTGTGGGTGTGGGTGTGGTAAGGGAGGTGTGGAGAGTAGTATTGGCAAAAATAAGAGAAATTTCTGTCTATAGAATCACCATGGTTAATTTTGTTTTATTTCAATTTTGTTTTGTTATATTGTAAAAATATATTATAAATATTAATAATAACCAAATATTATTATAATTATATTTTAATTAATATTAAAAAATAACAAAATTTAATACACAATCATAATAATAACTAACAATATTGTAAGTACAGTATAATAATAACATTATTTTTATTAATATTAAATATAAAGATCCCATTTGTATATAATAGTAATGTGTATATTATTTATCAATAATACAGTATTACAATAACTTTATATTATGATCCTATAGAAATAACAATAAAAAAAATTCTATAGAAATTTATTTCTGAAAAACTTTCTAGAAATTTACTTAGGAAAATATATTTAAAAAATTTCTGTTTGCACATTTCTATTGGAGAGTCATAAGTATTATTATTAAATATTAATATTTTATTTATAATATTAATAAAATTTCATGCATTAAAATAAATAATATAACGTAATAATAATATCTAATGATTATAATTTGTTTTTGTCAATAATATTAATAATTATTATTATAAACATTTTATAATAATGTAATAATAATGTTCATATAGTTATAGATCACGTAGAATACACTTTAACATAAAAATATAATATACTATCATAAAGTTATATAACTTATTTACTAAAAAATTAAACTAATCTACCTAGATACAAATAAATATCTAATATAGCTTATTTAAAAAAATTGTATCATTGTTATTTGAAAAAATTATTATATATTTATTTTTGACTAATCTATTATAAGTAAATAAAGATTAATGGCACCAATAGTTTCACAATTATTATTTAATATTAGTACAGGCAATGTAGTTGTTTATTTGACTAATAATTTCATAAATAATTAAAATCTATAGTAACAAATAATGTATTATTTAATCATTATTAATTAAATATAATTATTTGCATTATGTGTTTGAGAGGGTATATAAATAGTAGAAATAAAATAAATTCAATCAGTTTAAATAATTGGAGACCTGGAACCAATTTATTATAGAAAAATAATATATATAAATTTATATATAAATTATTTAATTGTATTATTATTATTTTCAATAATTTAATAAAAAGGTTTGGAAATAATTTATTTTTTAGTTTAATTTATTATTTATTTTTATATAATTGTTATTTTTTTTTATAGATGACTGTATTAGTTGTAGGCACTGTTGCTACGGTTGCCACTTGTGGTGCGGCCGCTCCTTTAGCAGCCGGTGCGGCCACAGGTGTCGGTACAACTGTGGTGGGAACGGGAGCTGCTGCGGCTGGAGCCGCGGCTGCAACCGGTACCGGAGCAGCAGCCGTTGTTGGAGGTACGGGAGCCGCTGCTGCTGTGTCCACAGTTGGTGCAGGAGGCGCCGTGGCCACCGGTGGTCTAACTACAGGAGCCATTCTATCGGGTCCAATAGGTTGGGCTATATTGGGCGCCAACATTGAACAATCCAATTCGGGATCTGTCCACCATTACTACAGTTATGACTGCTGGAAGGCCATAGTTCGTGATACGAGTGCCCAACCGTCTAGTGGTAAACTGTTAAGAGATGTGCTGCGAGACAGTCGAGTACTGAACTACACCTTTGAGTATAGACAGGGAGGACAGGGAGCTGATAATGATGACTATGTGACCGGTATCAAGGTTGAAAATGTGTGGCATGATCAGTTTCATATTAATTTTCTACATGTGCCCGGTCATGGTCTAGCTGTTCATGCTAATAAAATTTAAATTTTATCAATTATATTATTATTTTATTTTTTTAATAATGATCTTAATTACAAATATTTCAATACATATAGTTTTTTTGTGACTATTTAAACATATTATGTATACTTAAACTGTTTTAATTAATTTAAAAATTGTAAAAATCAATTTCTTAATATATATTCAAAATATGATACTTGTTAATAAAAAAAACATTATAAATTCAAAATTTCACACATTTTTTATTAAATATTAATTAAATCTACAGTATTTATCAATAAATAAGTATTTAAATTACTTAATAAATAAATTTTAAAAAACTATTTAAACTAATGTATAAATAATAATAATAATAATTATTATTTGATTTACAACAAAAGTTGAAAAATATTATATATTTTTTTGAAAGCAATAGTATCTGATTATCAATTGTTGGTCAATTGTATTGTTAGATTAATAAGATATTACTTCATATATTACTTCATATCACTATAATAATTGTATAATAATGGGATGCAAGAGTCCAATTAATTAATATGTATTTAATTGAATTTATAAACTAATCGTTTAAAAAAAATTATATGAATAAACACTCATAATATTAAAATTAAATTGTAGGTTGTAATAGCAATTTTTCAATTACAGTATTAAGTTTTTATTTATAGATTTAATTGATAAAAAAAACTATTGCAAATTATTTTTAGTAAACAGTTTTATATCTAAATTATACTATTTTTTATTATTAAAATGAAAATGATAAATTACAAAGAAATTATATATAAATATACTAATAAACTATATTTTGCAATATAATGTAATAAACAATATTGATAATAAAATAATACTAATTAAATTTTTATAATAAGCTATTTTTTAATGTCCCCTAATTGTAATAATAAAATTTATAATAAATGTTTTTCAAAAATATATTGATAATCTTATATAGTTATATTAGCTAATTATTAGTATACTAAATAAATATAAGTAATAAGTAATAACACAGATAATTAGGATAATTTAATTAGTTTAGCATTAGTTTAATTATCATATTGTTTTAAATTAATATATCTATTAGTATTTTGCATAATTCTATAATAATTAGTTACTATTTTATAAAGTTCATAAACATATTTGTTTAAATTTGGTATATTTAGCTTATTATTAGTCATTAATAATTGATCCTTAATTTTAGTCATTGTTGGCCACAACTCGACCTTAATTAGTGTCATCACATTATCCATAGCTTGTTGTGGACTTAATTGATCTTTTAATGCAATCAAATAAATATAATTTAGATTCAAATCATTAGTTTTTGCTTCCTTTTTGAACGAAACAATATCATTGATAAGTAAGGCAGTGGTCGAACTGTACCATTCAAATGACTGCAATTGTTGGCCAACTATAGGATCGGCGGCATCGGTTGTGGTGGCGGCGGCTATGGTTTCCCATTGAAAACCACTGGCCAACTCGTTTAGTATCCACAATGTATTTGTACCCGAATCCACGTATCTAATAGCCATATATTTTTCTAATGTCACCGATTCGGTGGCCAAATGAAATGTCTTTAAATCAGCGGAAATTTTCAGACAATCAATCATTTCTTTATGAAAGCGATTGAACATTGGTTTAGACATTAGCTTTTCATATGCTGTTATTTTGTGTGTTATATTAGTTGTAATAAACAAACAGTTTAAGAAAATAAAATAAAATAATTATTTTATAATTATTTATTATAGAAATATTATTCTATAATTAATTAAATATTTTATTTTTAAAAAAACTTACCGCTCATTAAATAAATGTAAAATTTAGCCGAACTATTGGTCATATTATCGTCAAATTCATAATGTTTTACACTTAAAACCGGTACTAATTGTCTGAATTTTTCGGGTTTTTCTGAATAATTATCGTCATAATAAAAGCCAAATAATATAAATAATGTAATTAATTCAAACTCATCGATGTGTCGACAATCTGGCGATATATAGCCAAAATGTGTAATGAAATCCATTGAATCCCTGTCCAAATATTTGTCCGCCTCATTGCCAATCAATGTCCTCACTCTAGTAACCACTTTATCGCGTACAGCATCTGACCATTTGTTTGGTACTAATTTTTCATTAACTAATTTGTCTAAAAAATTGCAATCAATTTTCACATCTAGACATTGTTTAACAAAACTTTCATCAAGCATTGTTTGTGTGTTTGTTTTTTTTAATTAATAATAATTATTATTATTGATTACTAATTTATTAAACCTATTGATATTTTAAAAAAATAGTTAAATATAAGATGGAATTTTTTTACTAATTAAATTTTTGTAAGTTTAATAGTAATTTATAGTGTCATTTGATAACTTAAAAGTTATTTTTTTAAAACAATTACAACATCACAACATTATATAATTAATTAAATAAAATAATAATTTCCTTTTAATTTTATCAAAGATGTTTTAGCTATTATATTAGGTTTTATGTAATATTTTAACATGTGTTACATTAATTAAAAATTAGTTTTTTTTAGTTTTCAATAATCTCAAGTATTTATTTAATTGTTAACACTTTTATTTTGAATATTATATTTATGTATAATTTTTTAAATAATTCACTAATTCATTAAATTAAAAATAATATAAGAAAATAAAAAATTATTAATTCTACTAAAACTTAATTAAAACTTATTTAATTATTATTTAATTTGCATCATTTTTTACAATATATTAGATCATTTTATATTATTTAAAAAATAATATTTTTTTTCAAGTGGTTTATTATTAGTAAAAAAAATAAACTAAATCATTGACATTAATAACACTTTAGATTAAATTTGTACTTTGATTCATCTATCACTTAAAAAATACAAATAAAGATATTACTACATAAAAATTGAAATATACTGTAGTATCATAAAACAATATTTGTAAAAAAATTAAAAAAATATAACTTATAAAAAAAATAAAAAAAATATAACTTATAAAAAAAATTGAATCATTGCTAATTTTTTCTAATTAAAATTATTATATTAATTATTTTATAATCTATGTCACAATTATTTTGTAATGTATTTGTTTATTTCACTAAAAAAATTTCATCAATTTATTAATAATATCATAATCTATAGATTAAATAATTAATAAATAGATTTAATTATTTCCAATATGTCTGAGAGGGTATATAAATAGCAGTGAAATTTTTTGAATTATATAGTTTTATACAATTGGATAACTGGAAACAATTTGTTATAGAAATATATATAAATTTTATATATATTATTTTCAATTATGATGATTATTTAGATGATTATTGGAGCTAATTATCACTATCTTCAGCTATTTTTACCATTAGATGATTATTGGAGCTAATTATCACTATCTTAAGCAATTTTTATCATTAGATGATTATTGGATCTAATTATCACTATCTTCAGCTATTTTTACCATTAGATGATTATTGGAGCTAATTATCACTATCTTCAGCTATTTTTACCATTAGATGATAATTGAATTTAATTATCACTCTTCAGCTATTTTTATCTTTAGACGATAAAAAGCCACTATATGTTAGCGTCACTTATTATAAGACTTACATAACTTAAATTTTTAATAACATAGATAAAATTAAAATTCAATAATATTTAATTTTTTGTTCGATTCATTTTGATTGGTCAATTGGCTCTGTGCCGATGGCACTGTTTTGTCACCAAAGGAAAACATCGATTTGTGCCGATGGCACACGTTTGTTGTCAGCGCGTTAAGATTCAGATCATTAGTTTTTGCTTCCTTTTTGAACGAAACAATATCATTGGTGAGTAAAGCAATGGTCGAACTGTACCATTCAAATGACAGCAATTGTTGGCCAACTAAAGGATCGGCGGCATCGGTGGTGGCGTCGGTGGCGAAGGGGGCTATTGATTCCCATTGAAAACCAGTGGCCAACTCGCTTAGTATCCACAATGTTTTTGTAGCCGAATCCTTATATCTAATACTTATATACTTTTCCAATGTTACCGATTCGGGTGTCAAATGAAGTGTCCTTAAATCCGCGCAAACAGTCAGACAATCAAACATTTCTTTATGAAAGCGATTGAACATTGGTTTAGACATTAGCTTTTCATATGCTGTTATTTTGTGTATGTATTAGTTGTAATAAACAAACAATTCAAAATTAATAAAATAATTTTATAATTATTTATGATAAAAATATTTTTCTATAATTAATTAAATATTTATTTTTTAAAAACCTACCACTCATTAAATAAATGTAAAATTTAACAAAACCTCTGGTCATAGTATCGTCAAATTCATAATGTTTTACACTTAAAACCGGTACTAATTGTCTGAATTTTTCGGGTTTTGCAGAATAATTATCGTCAAAATAAAAGCCAAAAATATAATATAATGCAATTAATTCCAACTCATCGATGTGTTGACAATCTGGTGATATATAGCCACTATATGCAATGAAATCCATTGAATCCCTGTCCAAATATTTGTCCGCCTCATTGCCAAACAATGTCCTCACTTTAGTAACCACTTTATCGCGTACAGCATCTGACCATTTGTTTGGTTTTGGTTTCATTAACATCTTTATCTAAAAAATTGTAATCAATTTTCACATTTAAACATTGTTTAACAAAATTTTCATCAAGCATTATAAGTGTGTGTGTGTTTTAATTATTATTAAACGGTTTTAAAATAAGTTTATAATAAAATTTATAATATCTTATAATTTTAATACAGTATTTTATGTATAAGTGATAAGTTTTGTATACTTTGATAAATTAAAAAAATACATAATTTCTATTAATATTTTATTATATATATATATATATTTTATCATATGTTTCTTTTAGTACCAAACAAATTAAATTTTTTAATCAGATGTTACATAAAAATTAATTAGTTTTTAGCACTTATCTGTTGGTATATCTGTTTTAAATTGTTGTCTAAAAAAGTTTAATATTTTAATTTGAATAGATGTTTGATTGGATTTAACAAATTTTAAAAAATGTAAACTATTTTCGTTTTTATAAATGATAAAATTAATTTTCAATGTAAACTAAAATGTTATAAATAATTTTTATTAATTAATAATTTGCTGACTATTAGTGAATATTATTTTTTCAAATTTAAAACATATTAACTTTATTAGTATTGAGTAGATAATTGTAAATTACAAACATAAATTCAATTAAATTTAAGCTTAATTTTACAATAAAAATATAAAATTTAAAATAATTTTTAAAAAACATAAAATAAGCTTACAAATGATTAAACTATTTAATTATATTGTATCCAAAACTAACATATGGTTAAATTGTTTAACAAATAGGAACATATAGAAACAGTTTATAATTAACCTTGATAGTTTAAAATTAACACACTAGAGCTCAAACATTATAAATAAAACATATTTTATTTATTATAATAATTATAAAAATAGACTAAAAATATTAATTAAGAATTTACAATAATTTTAAATATTATTTAAAATAATAATTTTAGTATTTATTATTGTTCTACGAAAATAGTTTCCAGATATTTTATATAAATTAGATATATATATATATATATATAATAATAATTATTATTTAACTTATTTACTTTAACTTATTATATATATAGTATATATAATAAGTTAAGGCAACTAATTATTATAGTATTGATGAAATAATATTCATTATTTTTTTAATAATAATAAATATAATTATTTGATTTTAATTATAATTTTTTATATTATAAAATATATTTGAATACTTCATATGTCTATAATAATTAGTTACTATTCTATAAAAAGCGTTCACATATTTGTCTAAATTTGGTATATTTAGCTTATTATTAGACATTACTAATTGATCCTTAATTTTAGTCATTGTTGGCCACAACTCGACCTTAATTAGTGTCATCACATTATCCATAGCTTGTTGTGGACTTAATTGATCTTTTAATGCAATCAAATAAATATAATTAAGATTCAGATCATTAATTTTTGCTTCCTTTTTGAACGAAACAATATCATTGATGAGCAAAGAAATAGTACATCCGAGCCATTCAAATGTTTGCAATTGTTGGCCAACTAAGAGATCGGCGTCTGAAGTGTCGTCCATGGATTCCCATTGAAAACCAACGGTTAGCTCATATATTATTAACAATGGTTTTGTACCCGAATCCCGATATCTAATGTCCATAAATGTTTCCAATGTTACCGATTCGGGGGCCAAATGAAGTGTCTTTATATCGGCACAAACTGTCATCCAATCAAACATTTCTTTATGAAAGCGATTGAACATTGGTTTAGACATTAGTTTTTCTGAAGCTGTTATTTTGTGTGTTATATTAGTTGTAATAAACAAACAATTCAAAAAAAAAAATAAAATAATAATTTTATAATTATTTATGATAGAAATATTTTTCTATAATTAATTAAATATATATATATTTTTAAAAACCTACCGCTCATTAAATAAATGTAAAATTTAACAAAACCTATGTTAATAGTATCATCAAATTCATAATGTTTTTCACTTAAAACCGGTACTAATTGTTTAAATTTTTCGGGTTTTTCTGAATAATTATCGTCATAATAAAAACCAAACATAATATATAATGCAATTAATTCAAACTCATCGATGTGTCGACAATCTGGCGATATATAGCCAATATATGTAATGAAATCCATTGAATCCCTGTCCAAATATTTGTCCGCCTCATTGCCAAACAATGTCCTCACTTTAGTAACCACTTTATCGCGTACAGCATCTGACCATTTATTTGGTAGTAATATTTGATCATCTATCTTGCCTAAAAAATTGCAATCAATTTTCACATTTACACATTTTTTAATAAAATTTTCATCAAACATCATAATTTTTTTTATTAATTTTTATAATTTTACATATAAAAAATTTAAATTTATTAAAAAAATATTTCAAAATATTTAATCTAAAACAATATTTTATTTATTAAAACAACATAATACTCATTATTATGTCATTACTATATATATATATATATATATACCTTTATTTTATAAATTATTTATAACTTTTATCAATTTTTTCAGAATAATCATATGATTTTTATAAATATATTTTTATATAATAGTATAGTATACTATATTTTTAAATAATAATTTTTTTATAATTTTATCATATGATGCTTTTTATATGTTATGATTTAAATAAATTTGAATTTATTTTATTTTTAAATAATAATTATAATAATAAAGTTTTAATTTGTCGATTAATTATTAATTATATGTTGAACAAGTGTTGCTTGAATTTAACAAGAAATTTATTTTATTTTTTAAAAATATATTAATATTTTTTAAAAATATATTAATATTTTTAGCTATATATTTGTTGGTATAAATGCATGTAAAAATATATTATATAAAATTTTATATAAAATATATAATTGTATAATACTAATATTTATTTGATATTTTTTTGATTAATAATTTTTTTTAATTTAAAACTTATATTTAAATTTAATAGTATTGTGATAATTATGAATTACATCAATCAAATTTCAGTTTGTTATTTATTAAAATATAAATTAATATAATATTTTTTATAATTAAAAAAATAATTATGTTTAAAAATGTTTAACTATAATAACAAACATTTATTTGAATTGGCCAACAAACTGAGCATGTAGGGCCAGTCCATAATTTGGTACATTAACATACTGGAGCTCAAACTGTTCGTCCCATATGTTAAACAAACTTATAGTATAATCATCTGAACAGTGGATACCTTTCAGACGACTGTCTCGCATAATGTCGCGCAATATGACTCCCGATGACAGCTCCCGACTCGAGTCGTGTAATACGGGTTTCCAACAATCATAAGTGGCATTAGATGTCTCGGTAGAGTCGGTTATTGTGCCCAAAGTAAGCCAACCCAACGGTCCAGACATTAAACTTTCAGTTGCTATGACAGACAGTAGTCCTTTAGTGCCGCTAACTGTCGAGGTATAAGCAGCCGCCGCCACTACACCGTTATAGGCGGCTATCAATGGACTACTAAAACTACATAAACTACTAGCTATCGGTGCGGTAATAGCGGCCATCAATGACGAACCGACAACTGTGGCCAATGTGTCGCTTTTGCTAACATAGTTTGCCAACAGTCCGATTGCAGTGCCCGACAAAGCACTTACCGATTGGACACTAGCTGTGGCTTTCACGGCAAAACTGGTCAATTCAGGAGCAACTAGTGTTGCAGTGCCGGCACTGGCTATGTTTGATACAGTTAGTCCCGTTAGTATAACCATTTCTAATCTATATATGCTTACTATTTACTGAAATAAATAGAAAAAAATTTAATAATAAAAGTAACTTAATTTTTTTCAGTAAATTTACTATTTGTTTACTTATTTGAAATTAATAACTTAAAATTATCATTAGTACGATAGTTATAAATAATTTTTACAATTATTGATTATATTTTTATTAAAGTAATCTCAATTATATACTAAATTACTTAAATACTGATTGCATATACAGTTTTAGAATATTATTTTTTAGTAAAAACAATAAAATTAATAAAATTTCAAATAATTATAGATAAAAAAAATATGGTGTGATTTACTGGAGGTGGGTAACTGTTAGTATAAAAGTCTATTAATATTTGGTCTAGAATTAACTACCTAGACAACTGTACAAAAAAATATTATTATTATTATATTGTGAAACTGTAATTTATAAAGAAAAATTGCACACAAATATTATTTACTTCAAAAATAATAATAATAATAGTATAATCAATGATCAACTGGTTTTTATCATCAATTGTTAGATTAACAAAAAACTTTACAAACAAATCACTATAATAGTTGCATAATAATTGTGTAATACTGTATAAGTATTACAACTAGACAATTTTTAAACAATGGGAAGTTCCCTAATAAAATCCATCCAATTTTCCAGAAAAATATGGAATATATTTTATTTTCCATACCTTCATCGTTAGAAAAGAAAATAGCTTATATATTATAACAATAAATAGTTATCAAAAAAACTTAAATAATTTGCATAATATTTCATAGAAATTAAGTAATAACTTTTCTTTTATAAATACCACTTAGAAATCTAGTTTAATATTGAATTTGTTTTTTTATCAATAATTATGAAAATTTTTTATGTTAATTGTTAAATAGATAAAATAGTTTTTTGGAAAATAAAACAATGGAAAGAATCTGAGCGAACCCTAATTACAACATTATATACATTTATACTGTATATTATAGTAACCAACATATATATTATATACAATATATTAAATCATTATTAATTAGATGTTATTTAAAAAAAACTATATATAAATTGTTTATTTCAAATCCATTGCTTAAACAATAACTTATCAATTATTGATAATTTCTCAATTTGTCAACAATTTGTTAACAATTATTATTATTACATTGTATTATCATGGGCATTTAATATTTGAGTCTACAAGTGATAAGTTTATGAAATTGTTTAATGCCTGTTATTATTTTATATATATTACAAGAAAATAGTAACCATTGATCAAATGATAATATATTCAATTTGTTTTTTTGTCAACACTTGTGTGTGTGTGTGTGTGTGTGTGTGTATATATGTGTATGTGTGGGTAGTTGACTGAAATATGTATTAAGCAATTAATTTTAGACAAATATGATAATGGGCTAAAAAAATCTATGGTAACATCAATATTAAGTCATTGTTAATTAGATAGTATTAATTTTTCTATATTGTATATATTATCCAGAACAATTGTATAAATTCATTTAACAAAAAAATGAGGTATAGTTATCAGTTTACAATTACATACTATACATCCATAAACAGGTAGTTATTAATAAAAATAACTAAAAATACTAAAATTATTAAAATTATTAGTATTTTTTGTTTAACTAATCACTTAATATATTATAACAGTTAAAACAGTCATCAAAAAAATGTATAACATTTTATTAGTATTATCATTATCGGTAATAGTGGTCATGGATGTTATGGTTAGGGCGGCAACCATTGACAGGATCAACCATTAACGACAAAAGAGGAACAGTAGTTCGGGTATACAATTGTTTTTTTAGCATAACTTTCCTCATATCATTATATTAATAAAAAAAATTATATCCCTGTGCTCTATATACTACTATACTAGTCATTATATGCGGAGATAACGAAATTGTAGTTAACGATTGTCTAACTATTCAACAACAACAACAACAATGTCAGCCCACATGCGAGCACCCGTATCTACCAGTGCACTGTAATAGTAGTAGTAGCAGTATAGGCACTGGTAGTAGTGGTGATGGCCAGCCATCATCATCGGCTGTTAAAAACTGTCGACAACAACCGGTTGGCTGTATCTGTGCGTACGGTTATGTCCGATGTATTAGGTCTGGCCAGTGTATACACCTGAGCCAGTATACAGATATGATATAATGTATAATTTTTTTAATAAATAAAATAATAGGCCTATCCTATCAATTGTAATTTTGAAATACAATTTTATAATTAGTATTATAAGTATTATTATTATTTATAATTATTATTAGTATTATAATAATAATTATCAGTATAACAATAATAACTATTAGTATTATTATTAATAGTATTAATAGTATTAATAATTATATTATTATTATTATAATTATTATTACTATTTTATTATTATTATTATTATCTAATCAATTACTAATATATTAAACTAAACAAAAAACAGCACTACCAGTTTATATGGCACCGGTAGTAGTATTGGACAACAATACAGATAATCTAGGTAAAAAATTTGCTGTACCACCACATCCAGCAGCACCGGTAGCTAATCCTGGCGATTTAGCTGCCGTAGTCGAAGTAGCGTTACCGCCAATTGTAGACCTACTGGCCCTTAAGGTTAATCAAATACTGGCACCGAAACCATCGAGACAGCCATCAGCTCCGGGTGGTGGAGGACTAATTGATGTCAATCTCGGTTTAAATGTATGCACTGGTATTATAATAGCTGCCATTAAAGTCGATGGTAATTAAAAGTTATTATTTTTTTTAATTAAAAATAAATAAATAAAATAATAGACTATTTGTTTGATTTGTTTTTATTTAATTTTATTTATAAATAACATATTTTTTATTTTATAAAATATAAACAAGTTCAAGTTAGTACAATATATATATATATATAATTACATCAAAAATAGTAAATTTTGTTTACAATATTATAAAGTGATTAATAAATATTTAAAAAACAAAAATTAATTATTAATCACAGTTAAGATACTTTATATTATTATTTTTTAATAATAATATAAATTAGAAAACCCACAAAAAAATAAAATTTAACTTAAAACGAAAAATATATATTTTTTTAATTAATTAATTAACTAATTATTAATTGAAAAAAATATATAATTATTTTTGCAACTTGTTATGCAAAAAATAAATATTATTAAAAAAAATCATTAATTAGAGGATATATATATATAATTACAATAATGTTTTTTTGTGAGTAATATAACTAGTAATTCCCGTAATATAAACATAAATATTATTGAAATAGTATTGAAATTCACTAAGTGTTGACAAAAAAAAGAAAGAAAAATTCATAAAATAATAGAGAAATTTCTAGAAAGTTTCTAGAATTTTTTTTTTATTATTTATTGTTAAATTTGTTTCTATCGATATTTATTGTTTATAACATTTTTTTTATATGTAATAATTAAATATAATTATTATTGTTTTAATTATTTATTAAGGTAAAATATTAATTTATTTAATTATATTAAACTATGATGAATATTTTTTTTAATAAAAAAACTAATTAACTAATTATTATTAAATAATTATATAATTATCTCTAGATAGTTATCTCAATATTATACCAGTAATCTATACTATATATAATAGTATAATATTATTTAATATATATAGTATTATACTCTCATTAATATATTTATAGTATTACAATAGCTATAGCTATGGAGATAGACATAGTATAACAATATATAAGTTAAATTTCAATAGAAATTTATTCCTGAAAAATTTTCTAGAAACTTTCTATTTGAGAAATTTATTAGAAACTTTCTATTGCTCATCTCTAAATTTACTACAATATAAACGTTTTAATAATCATATATATATATATATATATATTGATAGTTATAGTTAAAAATTTTATTTATAGCATATTTCTATGTTGTTAATAATTAATACTGTTTTATTATATTATATTTATCAATGTGTGTGTGTGTGTGTGCTTTTAAATAATAAATTATACTAGATTAAATATAAGTTTAAAATTAAATTTAAAAAAAAGAAAACTTATATAATAATTTGTAAAAGTCTAGTTATTTTTTATTAACTATATTTTTTTAAATAAAAATATAATACAATAATTAGCAATTAAAATGTTAACTTTGATTTTATTTGTGTTTAATTTAGTGGCAGTTTCTAATCAACAATATATTAACGGTTTGAATAATAACATTAATGACTAGTGTATTGATTAATAATTTTTTATACTCTACTAAATAGTTGTTATAATAGTTGCTAAAAAAAGTCAAATAGTTTTTAAAATAGTTATTTAAACTGTATTAAATAGTTGTATATAGTTGCTAAAAAAGCCTAATAGTTATTGAAATAGTTATTTATTTTTTTATAAATATTTCAACTGATATATAATTCATTTGTTTTCAGCATATTTACAAAAATGATTTATATAAATAAACTAATTATTCTATTGTTAAAAAAGTAATATGAGTTGATAACAGTTTACACATTTTATATAATTTATATAACTATTACTTTTTGTTTTTACATATATTTGTGCTTAATTTTACAATTTAATGCTTATATTTTTCAAAATAACTGAAATAGTTATTTATAAGTTTTTATAGTTTCTAACCCAACAAATAGTTATTTATAGTTATAATAAAATTTCGGAAATAGCGTCCACTGGTCAACTTCGGTGGACATACTAAGTCCCAGTTATAAGCGTTGAACTGACAAAATAATTTTTTTAGTTGGAAATCAAGACACTATTAATGACACTGAAAAACTTAATAATAACCAGTCATGTAATAATAATAATAATAATAATAATAATAACACTATTTATACTGATAGAAACCCTATTGAATCGAATGATAAAGTATTAATAATAATCATATCAGTGATGACAGTATCCATGATATGTCTGGCCATTGGTTTGGCCATCAATTACAGGCAACACATCCGTAATAATAGACGTGTTATCCATTGGATTAGTATTGGACGCGAATTAATGAATCCTTCGTAAAATACAAATATTATTATATTTAGAAACTAAATATATATATATATATATATATAATAAACATATACAGAATTTTTATATACATATATAATTATATAATATGTATTTATATAAAAATATTTATATATAGTATTTGTAGTTTGTATAGATATAATAGATATTTTATTAAAAAATTGTTTAATTTTATAATTATAATTTTTTATTTATGTCAATACTAATAATATTACAATTTAATCGTAAAAACAAATATATATACAAAGATTAAATTAATATACAAAAAGTTTTAATACTTTATTGTAAATATAAAATATTTATATATTTAGTAGTATAAATCAATTATATTTTAAATCAATTGTTTTGCTATACACAGTAAAATAAAATAAAAATATTATTAATAAATTGTTTTAATAAAATTTATAAAATATTAATTTATAGATAAAATAAATAATTTTTTAATTTATAACAATACTTAAAATTATTTCTATATAAATTATTTGGAAAATAAATTTAACATTGTATAAACAATTATCTATTAAATTTTTCTTAAATTTTAATAAATATCTATTTAATATAAAATAATAATTTAATATATTTAATATTAATTTTTGTTAATAGTATCAGAAATCCATTCAGTAAAATATGAAACCCTAGGAAATACACCAAAAACATAATCATTGATTTCATGACACTTTATCCAATAGCCATCATTAATCCCCTGATGTATGCCAATCAATACGGCCCTACCGTTTACATACTGATACAATGGAGCACCAGAATCACCCTAATTAGGTATAGATAGATAAATGATTAAATACATACACATACACATACACATACACATACACATACACATACACATACACATACACATACACATACACATACACATACACATACACATACACATACACATACACATACACATACACATACACATACACATACACATACACATACACATACACATACACATACACATACACATACACATACACATACACATACACATACACATACACATACACATACACATACACATACACATACACATACACATACACATACACATACACATACACATACACATACCGGACATGAAAAGGTGCCGTTATATTGAGGATATCGTTGGCCGAGTATAACTATACGCCAATAGTCTGTCTCATTACGTACGGCTGCCCTAATCCTAATATAACCCATACGTAGTCTATCGCTTCTATTAGTATCGGTTACTTTACCGTAACCGGCCATCAATGCCAACTCATCCCTATCATTGTGTTGGTTAGCCATTGGCAAACAAATACCGTTTAGTGTCCGATATGGATGTAGTAGTAGTCCAACGTTTGTATCAATAAGCGGTAAGTCAACTGTTAGTTTGACCAGTGCCAGATCTGTAGCCGGATGCTGATTAGATTCATAATAAGGTTGGATAACTGTTTTTTCAACATCATAACCATCATCGTTATAGCCGTTTATATTGATAAATAATTTGCCCGGGTAGATTTTTATATCACTAACACGAATTTGGCTAATAATAATAATTATTATTTGTTGTTGAATAATATACAGTTGTATAATAAGGCATAGTCAGTATAAAGTATATATATATATATATATATTTATATATAAACAGTCTATAAATGTATAAATTATATATATATCAGGGTTAAGTAAGGGGGGGGTAGGGGGGGTAAGGCCAAAATACCCCCCCCCTAAGATCGAGAAATTGGGATTTTACCCCCCCAGACTTTTTGACCAAATGGGAAAAATTGTCGCTTAAAAACGAGGAGAAATGACCCCCCCCTAAAATTTCGGCGCCGAAGGCGCCGAAAATTTTTTTGAGATTTATAAAAATTTTAATTTTAGTTAATACTATTTTAGTAAGTGTTTTTATGTTTTTAAAATTTATATGATTCTAATTATTGATTAAAAATAAGTAAAAAAGTTAAAATAACGTTAAAACTCATCAAAAAATAACATAATTTTACTTAAAATATTAAACTAAAAAGTTAAAAAATACCAATTTGTTGAAAAGAATAATCATATTACAATATAAATAGAAGTTTGAGATAGTTTAAGAAGTTAATAAAAAAATAAATACTTATATTACAAGGTTTTTATTAATAATTTTTAAAATTTTAACTAAAAAATTTAAAATATTTTTAATTTTATAATTAGTATTCAATCAGTATTTACATAAAAATAACATTAAAAAATAAAAATATATATCTATAAACTATAAGCATTAAGTATTATTTAAAAAATTATTTTAAAAGTTAAAAATTACTAAAATACTAAAAAACTCAGTGTATCATTAATGCCTTTATCACCTATTTTTAAGTATTTAATACATTATTATTTTATTTTTTGCTAAAATTTAAGTTTTTATTAATTTTTAAAATTTTTTTTTAAAAATATTTATTTTTGTTAAAATTTAACTTTTTTTTATTTTTGTTAAAATTTAAGTTTTTTTTATTTTTGTTAAAATTTAAGTTTTTTTTAGTATTTTTGTAAATTTTACCTATTTTCCTGGGAATTTATACGGGAACTTATGGGAATTTTATCGAATTTACATGGGAATATTCGGGAATTTAATGGAATATTAGGGAATTTTCTCTTGACCCCCCCCTTGATTTTGGATTTTTGAAAAAATTGCCGTTTAAAAATGCAATAAAAATCTTACCCCACCCAATACCCCCCCCCCCCCAAGATTTTTCGAGAATTTTGTAAATTTTACCCCGGTCTACCCCCCTAAAATCCAAAACCTTGCTTAACCCTGATATATATATATTTACAAAACTACATGAGCGGCTGTCAGTATCCATCGTCTATTTATTATAACACCCGATCCATAAACTCTACTATAGATTTTGAATTTATTGAAAATAATAATATGCTTAAAAAATTACAAATTATTATTAATTTAAAAAAACAAATTATTATTTACTCCGTGCGCTGAATCCATACGGCAAACGGCACTTCAGCCGGTCCTGCATTGCGTCCATTATTCAGTTCATGCGGTGGTATTAGACTTTGATTGGATTGAAACCATTGAAAACAATTGCCGTTTGACAGCAATGATTGTCGACCGATACCACACTGTGGGACAGTTATGTTCGGGTAGTCATCCATTTCAATGGTCGACCAGATATTTGTGTAAAAACACAAAAACAACAATAAATTAATTATAATTATTTTACTTAACATTTATTTATTTTTTAACAGTTTTTTGTGTTTCTAAATATCCTAATAATTAATATGATATAAAATAACTATTACTATTAATATAAAATTATAATTTTTATGATTTTTATTTTTTGTGTTATTTTAAACTTAAGTTACGGTTTCATATTTATACTCTACTTTACAATGTAATGTAAATCTAATATTTACTGTATCTATAAAAATAAAATAAAAACTATTTTTTTAAATAAGATTTTTAAAAATAATCAAATTTCTTTTTATTGTATTTATTAAAACTAAAAAATCAATTATATTTAATATATATATTTTATAACAATTATAATGATTTATAATAAAATAATAAACTATTTTTTTTGTTGTTGATTGCTATTATAATAATTAATATATTGTTGTAATGCCATATGATATATGTTTATGTGATATATAAATATAAACACTTTATATTTATATATACTGTATATATATACAGTATATATAAATACTGTATATATTTATGAATCATAACTAAAATTAAATGATGAGTTTATTTTACAAGTATCGATATAGTAGTATTTAAATTATTAATAAATTTTTAGTAATTATTATAATTTATATATTTTGAAACTATCATTAGTAATATAAAAAATAAAATATATTACAATTCAATTAACAACTATTTATATCTGTATAATAGATAGATATTAAAAAAGAAATATTAATTATAAATTAGTTATAAATTAATTTTTCACCAGTTAAATAAAACAAAAATAGTAAAAATAAAAAAAAATTTGAATTTTTTACTTAACAAAAACATTTATCTATTTTTTCAAACATTTCTAAAAAATCAATCATGAATTAGAGGATATAATGTATATATTTAATTTCAATAATGTTTTTTATTTCATAACATTTCTAACTATATGTTGCGGTCGCACTCATAAGATCTAAACTCATTTGACCCAAACTTACTTGACCCAACTCATTTGATCCAAACTCATTTGACCCAACTCATTTGATCCAAACTTATTTGACCCAAATCACTTGACCCAAACTTATTTGACCCAAATCACTTGACCCAAATCATTTGACACAAATCATTTGACCCAACTCATTTGACCCAAATCACTTGATCTAAATCATTTAACCCAAACTTATTTGACCCAAATATTTATTATTTTATTTTTTCAAACTATAATTATATATAAATAATATAAAACTTAATAATTTTATTTAATTAACTATATAAATAATATAATAATCTATTTAATCTATAAAATAATTTAGAACTTAATAATATTAAGTTATTACATATTTATTTTAAAAAAAATAAAAAAACAGAAATATTTCCAATTATTAAGTTTGTATTATTTATATATAATTATATAGTTTGAAAAATAAAATAATAAATATTTAGGTTAAATAAGTTTGGGTCAAATGATTTGGGTAAAGTGATTTGGGTCAAATGAGTTGGGTCAAATGAGTTGGGTCAAGTGATTTGGGTCAAATGAGTTGGGTCAAATAAGTTTGGGTCAAGTGATTTGGGTCAAATGAGTTTGGGTCAAATGAGTTGGGTCAAATAAGTTTAGATCAAATGAGTTGGGTCAAATAAGTTTGGGTCAAATGAGTTTAGATCTTATGAACTAGACCCATATGTTGTTGTATTTTATATAAACAATTAATATTGTATATTAACTATAAATATAAATAAATATAATAATAATAAAAATATAATATAAAATAATAAAAGTATAATCAATGATCAATTGGTTTTATCATCAATTGTTAGATTAACAAAAAACTTTACAACAAATCACTAAAATAATTGTATAATAATTGTGTAATACAGTATTACAACTAGAGTTCCGGCAATTTTTAAACAATGAAAAGTTCCCTAATAAAATCCATCCAATTTTCCAGAAAAATATGGAATATATTTTATTTTCCATACCTTCATCGTTAGAAAAGAAATATAGTTTATATATTATAACAATAAATAGTTATCAAAAAAACTTAAATAATTTGCATAATATTTCATAGAAATTAAGTAATAACTTTTCTTTTATAAATACCACTTAGAAATCTAGTTTAATATTGAATTTGTTTTTTTATTAATAATTATGAAAATTTTTTATGTTAATTGTTAAATAGATAAAATAGTTTTTTGGAAAATAAAACAATGGAAAGAATCTGAGCGAACCCTAATTACAACATTATATACATTTATACTGTATATTATAGTAACCAACATATATATTATATACAATATATTAAATCATTATTAATTAGATGTTATTTAAAAAAAACTATATATAAATTGTTTATTTCAAATCCATTGCTTAAACAATAACTTATCAATTATTGATAATTTCACAATTTGTCAACAATTTGTTAACAATTATTATTATTACATTGTATTATCATGGGCATTTAATATTTGAGTCTACAAGTGATAAGTTTATGAAATTGTTTAATACCTGTTATTATTTTATATATATTACAAGAAAATAGTAACCATTGATCAAATGATAATACTGTATATTCAATTTGTTTTTTTGTCAACACTTGTGTGTATGTGTATGCGTGGGTAGTTGACTGAAATATGTATTAAGTAATTAATTTTAGACAAATATGATAATGTGCTAAAAAAAATCTATGGTAACATCAATATTAAGTCATTGTTAATTAGATAGTATTAATTTTTCTATATTGTATATATTATCCAGAACAATTGTATAAATTCATTTAACAAAAAAATGAGGTATAGTTATCAGTTTACAATTATTGTACAGTGATTTTAATATTTATAATTTTTTTTAAAATCATAATTATTATTTAAATTTTTTTTTTTTTGAGTCCCGAGTATATTATTGATATAGTTTAAGGTTAAAAAAATTATTATTATTATTTAAATTATCTAAAAAATTAATCAAAAATAAATATATCGATTTTTTTGTTAGATGGTTATAGTCTTAAATAAATTATTTATTAAATAATATTTTTTCTTTATATACAATATATATTAAAAATTGTTATTATAGATGACTGTTGTAATCGTCGGAGTTGTTGCCACAGTTGCCACCTGTGGTGCTGCCAGTCCTGCCGCAGCCGGTGCTGCATCGGGCCTCACTACGGCTGTATTGGGAGCATCGGGCACAGCGGCCACTACCACGGTTGCTGTAGCTACTTCGGCCACTGCTGGCGGAGTAGCCGGCGCAGTTACCGGAGCAATCGCTGGTGGTTCAGGAGCCGCTGCGTTGGCTGGCGCTGGTGCCGGTGCAGCTACAGGCGCGGCCACTGCTGCCGGCTTTACGGCAGCTACAGCTGGCGTTAGTACCGCTGGCGCCAGTATTGCTTCAGGAAGCGCTGTTACTGTTGGTGTACTTTCGGGACCCGTTGGCTGGTTTGTATTGGGTGCCAGCATTGATCAAACTGATCCCCTATCTGTTCATTACACTTATGACTGCTGGAAAGCTATAGTTCGTGACACAAGTACCCAACCGTCTAGTGGTAGACTATTGAGGGATGTGTTGGTTGACAGTCGAGTACTGAACTATACATTCGAGTATATACAGGAAGGACAGGGAGCCGATAATGATGACTATGTGACCGGTATTACTGTTGAAAACGTATGGCATGACCGGTTTTACATCAATTTTATAAATGTGCCCGGTTATGGTCTAACTGCTCATGCTCAACAAATTTAATTTTTTACACAATTATTAAAATCAGAAAAAATTATATTTTTAATAATCATATTAATAATCGTATTACTACAGTATTAATTTGTTTTTATTTTTGTAAAATCAATTAACAAAAATTATTGTGAATTATATTTATTAAACTGTTTTGTTTAAATTATAAAAATTAATTACCGGTATATTATTTTTTATTTGTAAAGTAACAAAAAATTAATGTTAAAATTAAAAAACAAAAAGATACATTATATTTTGCAATATAGTTATTTTTAAAAAATATACAATAAAAATATTAATTAAATTTTTAGTATAAAATATATCTTAATAACCACTATTATCACTATTATTAAAAATTATATAAATTTAATAATTTTTATTTTATATTTTATTTGACTATTAGTTTAAAAATTAAAAAAAAATAATACTTACATGACTTAATAGTATTGTGATAATTATAAATTGCAATCATAAATTCAATAATTTTTATTTTATTTTTTATATGACAATATAAATTAATACAATATTTTTTTATAATTCAAAAAAAATAATTAAGTTTAGAAATGTTTAACTAATAATAACAAACATTTATTTGAATTGTCCAACAATGTGAGCATGAAGGGACAGTCCATAATTTGGTACATTAACATACTGGAGCTCAAACTGTTCGGCCCATATGTTAACCAAACTTATAGTATAATCATCTGAACAGTGGATACCTTTCAGACGACTGTCTCGCATAATGTCGCGCAATATGACTCCCGATGACAGTTCCGGACTCGAGTCGTGTAATACGGGTTTCCAACAATCATAAGTGACATAAGATGTCTCGTTAGAGTCGGTTATTGTGCCCAAAGTAAGCCAACCCAACGGTCCAGACATTAAACTTTCAGTTGCTGTAACACTCAGCAGTCCTTTAGTGCCGCCGACTGTTGAAGTATAAGCGGCCGCCGCCACTACACCGTTATAGGCGGCCATCAATGTGCTGTTAAAGCCGCACAAACTACTGGCTATTGGTGCCGTAATAGCGGCCATCGATGACGAACCGACAACTGTGGCCAATGTGTCGCTTTTGCTAACATAGTTGGCCAACAGTCCGATCGCAGTACCCGACAAAGCACTTACCGATTGGACACTAGCTGTAGCTTTGGCGGCAAAACTGGCCAATTCAGGCGCCACTAGTGCTGCAGTACCAGCACTGGCTATGTTGGATACCGTTAGTCCCGTTAATATGACCATTGCTTTTAGTGAACAAAATTGTTGTACTAATTGTTTAACTAAATTAATAAAATAATTATTTATTATTAATAAATAAATAAAAATGAATATAAAATTTTTGCTAATACATTGCTTACTTACTTTTATATTTATAAATTATTAAATTACTTTTTTATACTAGTGATTACTATAGTGAATATTGAATTAATGATAATATTGTTTGATTAACTTTTACAAAAATATTTGTTTTATACTGTTGTTTAATACTTGTATAATACTGTATAAACTAAAATAATTTTTATCACATATAAGTCTAGGATTACATTACTATTTATTCATTTCAATATTTACTGCAATTTTCTAATAGTGTAATCACTTTTATTTAGCATTGCATCTATTGAAAAATATAAACTTATTATTACAACACAATTATTATTAGTTAACAAAATACAATAGTATTAAATACTAAGCAATAATAATAAATTGGATCATTGTTATTTTATTTGTAAATATTTCTAAATAAAGTTAGATTATGAGATTTATAGGCATTTATTAAGGCATTACAATATATTAATTTCATCAATTGATAATGATTAACAAAAAATATATGAAATCATTATTAAATAAGATTTAATTATTTTATTTAACAATAATTTATATATAAATATACTTCAAATACACAAAGTCATCATAAAAGTTTCAATTTCAAAAAAGTTTGTCTCAATTTTGTTGTTGTATTAATTGGTTATTAAATATATTTTATTAAAATTTAATTTATTAATTGAAAGATATTAAGCAAATAATTTATAAAATATAAAGTTTATTAATTAATTAATATATTCTTATAAATTGTTATTAAAGATGACTGTATTAGTCGGCGGAGTTGTCGTAACAGTGGCCACCTGTGGTGCCGCCTCACCTGCTGCTGCCGGTGCGGCCGCTGGAGTCGGTTCAGCTGTTTTGGGTTCGGCCGGCACGGCTGCAACTACTGCCGCAGCAGTGGCCACATCGGCTACAGCCGGCGCTGCGACCGGAGCCGTTGCTGGTGCTATTGCTGGTGGAACGGGAGCTGCGGCACTGACTGGTGCCGGAGCCGGTGCAGCCACTGGTGCTGCCGCAGCTGCTGGCTATACGGCAGCTACAGCTGGCGTAAGTACCGCTGTTTCAACGGGAGCGTCGACAGCTTGTATCCTATCGGGTCCCGTCGGTTGGATAGTATTAGGTGTGACCACCGGTGATCAATCCGCTGATGATTGCCGATCTGTCCACCACTACTACACTTACGACTGCTGGAAGGCCATAGTTCGTGATACGAGTGCCCAACCGTCTACTGGTAGACTGTTGAAGGATGTGCTTCGGGACAGTCGAGTACTGAACTATACATTCGAGTATAGACAGGGAGGACAGGGAGCTGATAATGATGACTATGTGACCGGTATTACTGTTGAAAACGTATGGCATGACCAGTTTTATATCAATTTTCTAAATGTGTCCGGTCATGGTCTAACTGGTCATGCTAACAAAATTTAATTTTTTTTATCAATAATTATTATATAATTATTTTATTTATACTTAACTTTATATAGATTTATGTTTTAATTTGTTGATTGATTGTAAAATAAATATTCAATGACTGAAACCTTAATAAAGGGACTGTTTGAAAAAAAAACAAAAATTAGTTTTTTTAATTTAATATATTAATATTTTATCAGTTATTTATGATTATAATCTAGTTAATATTGTTAACTAACTATATAATTTTATTTATAAGTTACATATTAATATGCAATTGGTAATTTTGTTTATTTTGACCACTAGTGATCAATGGTCAACATTTGTAAATAATAGTATAAATAATTAATATGATTAGTTTTATTTTTTTTATTAGTATAATTTAATTTTATTCATATTAATTTTACTATATATTGACCATTGGTCACTTTTTGGTCAATACAAATAAAAATAACAAAAAAAAGAAAATCATCAATATAATTTTAATTTTACATATTAATTGTTATGGGCAATTTTAATTATAATGATAAAAAGTGACCAATGGTCAATATATAGTAAAATTAATATGAATAAAATTAAATTATACTAATAAAAAAAATAAAACTAATCATATTAATTATTTATACTATTATTTACAAATGTTGACCATTGGTCACTAGTGGTCAAAATAAACAAAATTACCAATTGCATATTAATATATAACTTATAAATAAAATTATATAGTTAGTTAACAATATCAACTAGATTATAATCATAAAAAACTGATAAAATATTAATATATTAAATTAAAAAAACTAATTTTTAGTTTTTTTCAAACAGTCCCATTAATAAACTATTTTGTTTTTTTTTTAAATATATAGGAATATACTGTATATTATTTAATATATACAATATTATTAATTAACATTAAATACTAAATAATAAATATACATTTTTTTACTTATTAATGTTAAAAATAAATATATAAAAATTATTTATATATTTCTCAAAATTATAGCATTAAAAATTATTACCTATAGTATAGTATAATTGATAATTTGAAATAATTATTAACTTAAGATATAATGAAAACAAATTTACACTAAATTTTCACGAACTCCTGAAAGGAGTCCGTATATGCATTCTAAAAGTCTGTCTGTCCCACATAGGTTAGTGGTTCGAATCCAGACTCTGCTACAATTTTTTTTTTGATTTTTTTTTATAAAGCATCAAAAATGAGCTATGGGATAAGTATTGAAATTTTGATATTTCATCAGGAACATAGAGAAAATGGCGTCTAAAAATCAAAAAATATATTTTTTGATTTTTAAATTTAGATTTGTGTAGAGCATAAAATATGAAGTATAAGAAATCTGCATTTAAATTTTTATCTCTTCAAGAACTACGAGAAAATGACAACTAAATTTTTAATTTTGTCATACTGAATCATTTGATACCCCACATGATTATAGTTGAGATATTTTTTTTTATTCTGAAGCATTTGTTATCCAACATGTCTATAGTTGAGTTTATTTTGTAATACTGAATCATTTGATACATTGTATGACAATAGTTGAGTTATTTTGGTATTCTGAACTATTTATATTTCACATTACTATAGTTTTTATTTTGTCATACTGAATTTAATTTTTAATTAGGATTTAGGAATTCGTATGGAAATACTTTCTAGCATTCTCAACTGGTTATTATTAAATAATTTGTTTTGTTTTTGGCGCACATTTTGTTTATTTTAATACATAGATCACTATATATTTACTATAATAGTAAGTGTATTATACAGTATTCAACTGCTAAGCTCCGCCCACTTATGGCTTTATCAATGCAAACATGTCCGACATATATGTAAAATGTAAACAAAAAATAATTTCTATTTATTTTGTTGTTTAGTTTGAAAATAATATTAAAACTAACGTAATATTAGTTAAATAAATGTTTTAAATGATTAATTAAAACCAAAAAAAAAAAATATTTAAACTATTAATACAATAATTGCTATCAAAACAAACAAACAGTGATTGAAATGAGTGCTGACTTTAATGATAAGTCAATTGATTGTCAAAACAGACAATTGTTGGATGTTTTGAACAAAACGACTGCTTTTATAACAAAATTATTATCATTGAAGACAATTGTCGCACAACTGTCACCACAACTAAGCCAAGAACTACAAGAATTGGACAATGAGTTGAAACATGTATTGGAAAGTCATCTTAAAATACCAGTGTTTGTTACCGCCGATGATGTCAATAACAACAACAACAGTCGGGATCAGTTGGACAACGGCGGCGGCGATAATGATAATGACCACAGCGACGGTCAATCGGTGATTGCTATTGAAGACGATGACGATAAGGAAGAAGGAGAAGACGTCATCGATAAGGATAGTCAGACAGCGAATACCGACGGCAACGATGACCACCAGTCGGCGACCAGACAGAAAATTTTCAAATGTTTTGCTAAACGCTGTTACTTTGTCTTCAATAATATCGACGAATTGGTGGCACATTTGCAAACGAGTCATTCAATCATTCGTCATCGGTGTCCAAACTCAGAATGTTTGATGCAATTGTTTGAATCGGAAGATGAACTCGAAAAACATCGGCTAAAGAAACACATAGATGACGGCCATATGGTTGGTGTAGTCATAGACGATAATGAAGATAACAGTGCGGTTGTCAATGATCAAGAAGTCGGCGGCGAAAGTCAAACATCAGCCGACAATAGTAGTCAGCCATCGAAACCGACGGTCACGCGATACAAGTGTTATGTCAAAGACTGTGGCTTTATATACGACAAGATTAAGGATCTGTTAGTACATCTGAAATCTGAGCACTCGATCAGCGCTTTTCGGTGTAGTGATGAAAACTGTGTCAGTCAACTGTTCCCGACAAGAAATGCCGTCAAAAAGCACCGAATGCTCAAACATTGTGGCATTGGTACCGGCGATGGAGGTATTGGTATCCAACTACTACAACAACAACAACAATCGGGCCAATCGCCAGTGAATATACCGTTGATAATATTGCCGCCGTGGACTCAATGTATGAAATGTAATTACAAAAACTGCGGTAAACTGTTTACGAGCAAAGAGTTTCTGGCCCAACACATCCAAAATTTTCACATCAATAATAATAAGAAGAAGAAAAATAAAAGTGATAGCGAAAAGTCAACCGATAGTGAAAATGTTTGCAAAGTTTGCGGACTCGAGTTTACCGACAAACAGCTGATGTGGTGTCACGTAAAGTCGCACGAGATTGAGATACAGTGCGGACAGTATTTGTCAGAGTTTTCCGGTATTTCCAACCAATTGCTGGTGAATAATAATAATGTGGTCACCGACGGTAGGGCCCAAACGATAGTGTTGACTACGACTGCAGGAACTACCGATACCAATGTCCAACCGCAGCACTGGAGATGTTTGCTGTCCACCTGTAATCAGCTATCAATCACTCGATCGCATCTCATCGAACACATGAAGATTGTCCACTTTGTAGCACCGATTAGCTGTCGGCGGCCACAGTGTCAGCAAATGTTATTCATCGACAGAGTTACGTACGCCAAACACAACGACGAATGTCACCGAACCAATCGATGTCCGTACGAGGGCTGTGTCTTCCGAACCGAACACAAGAGTGGACTCGACATTCATCTGTTGTCCCATTCGGATATCAAACAGTTTTGGTGTCCGCGCGACGGCTGTGGCGCCCAATTCAAGTACCGGCACAATGTTGTACATCATTTGCGACGAGTGCACGACACCAGCGATACGCTAATCAAATGCGATTATCCCGATTGCGAGCGGACCTACAAAAACATATACGTTCTCAGAAAGCACAAGAAAGAGCAACACTCAAACATTAGGGTCGTCTGCGAACAGCCGACTTGTGGCCAACAGTTTCGTACTCGGAAACAGATGCGCCACCATATGATTGTTGTCCACTCGGATCGTGTCTATCGTTGTCATTGGCCGGGCTGTGAGTTTGAACATAAAGTCGATCGCCAACTGAAACAACATATACTAACACATTCGGGTTTCCGGAGGTATAGTTGCGACCTATGCTCGTATAGGACACAATCGAAGAAGTTGTTAACTAATCACATCAGACGTCAACACGAAGTGGACAACGACAACGATGCCGACACCAACACATAACTCAATAGTGTTGTTGTTTTTTTATGTTTAAAACATGTATTTATTTTCTCCCTTTTTTGTAAATAAATTTATAAATAATGTACTGTATATTAAATAAATTTTATTCATTAAAAAAATAGTATAATATTTATTTTTGTTATAATGTTATGAAATCTATTGTCTATGTTTTGCAAATAATTAATGTCAATCTGTATAATAATTGTTATCAATTTATTATAATATATGTCTATTCATTCAAAGTATGTTTTTAAAAAAAAAATGTTTTATAAATAATAGTTAATACCTCTGGAATGGGTATTAGTTTTATTACCCTGGGATGGGGTAGACAGTTATGACCGGCTTACTATCCCTAGAGAGATCATGATTTTATAGAGATTTTACGCAAAATTTTTTTTTGCCAAAAAATGTTAAAATAGTTTGTAATTTTAATTAAGCAAATGTGTGAAATTTTTTGATCAAATGACAAAAAAACAAATAAGGCGTGATTCACATATTACGTTCGCACTTTTCAAGAAATCTAGACCCCTCCCTCCCCTATGTTCGCAATTGTTCGCATGTAGTCATTTAAAAAAATTACGTTCGCTTATCCCTAATCGCTACCCCCCCCCCACCACAAGAAATAAGATATTATCTAAATGCGAACGTTCTTAATGTCTCTACCCCTCCCCTCCCCCTCGTTCGCAAAAGTTCGCTTTGGCTAACCCCCCCTCCCCTCAAGTGCGAACGTAATATGTGAACAACGCCTAAATATTTTTTTTTATAACAAATTATTAGTTTTTGACAAGTTTTTAGTAATTTAGTAATTAAAGTCAACAACAAAAATAATTTTAATCTATTTATTACATTACAAGTTTGCCTAATTTTAGTTATAATTAATTGATTTAATGCATTTGATTGCATGCATTATAACAATGAATTTTTAGTGATATTCTGTAGACTTAAGCGTTATTTAAAAAACACATAAAACATTTCCAAAATTATACATTTAAATAGTTGTTTAGACAATTACTATTCAATATTATTCAATAGTTATTTTACTTAACTATTACTACTTTTTTTTAAAAAAAAGTGTATATAATAAAACTATTAATTATTTATATAATAAATGGATATTAATATCGATATATTAAACAGCAAATCGTTATCAAAATTTGTTGAAATAGATGTATGATTTATGTCATAAATTTAAAATTGATTTATTACTTATTTGTAATTATTGTATATAAATTTATTATATTAAATTTATTTACTGTATAATATATACTCATAATCTTAGTACTAATATAGTACTACTACTACTACTACACTACTACTGTATTATTAAATCTTTACTTTTATATGTGACCTATACTTAGGTTGGCGTTTTGGGAACCGGCTGTTTGATCGACTATAAGGGCCAAACAGTTGTCCTAACCAACGAACATGTAGTCCAAAATCAATGGCTGGCTTTGGTAACGTTAAACGATTCGTCGGGCGACTACCTATTCGGAGAGATTATATATGCCGATCACATCCACGATTTGGCACTTATTTCGGTTGACTTTGAAGGTACTAATGCCACGATATTTACAGTGGCCAATACATTGCCCGAGTTTGGCGATCCAGTGATAACATTGGGTTATCGTAGCGCATACCCGGCCTATAACATAGGTTACGGTGTGGTTACTTGTCCGCAAAGTTTGTCACTACATAGTGAAGCAAAGCTTTACGGCATTCACGATATATCAGTCGATCCGGACGTACCGCTCATCGAAACCACTGCCGCCCAATATCACGGGTTTTCCGGTGGACCACTTGTCGACAAAATGGGACAGTTATTGGGCATTAATACCATTTCTCGGTGGAAATATACACACCATTATTCATCGGCCAGTACTCATATCGATAGTAATAATTGCTACCAAAAAAATGTTTATTTAATAATACTTTTTTTTATAAAAAAAAATATATTATAATATATAGAGTTTATTGAAAAAGCCATACAATTTGGTAACAATGAATTGCAACGACGGGATAGAGAGCATCAAGTGTTGAGATTAGGACTGTGTCTCAAATGGAGTTCCCGACAAAAGGGCTGTACTGTCATCGATAAGCTGATTGAAACTAACGAAAAGTATTTTGTATTTTTAAATTATAATTAATTATTTTTTTGTAATTTATTACTTTTGTTTTTTATTAAAATTTTTTTTAGCTCCAATATAAATGTTTTCGACACTATTGTCGAAATTAATGGCAAACCAATTGAATCGTTAAATCATTTTATTGATGAACTCGACAATTGTGTCGACAATACGGATATAAATGTTAAGATTAGTGGCGATTTGCAAACATTTGCCATAAAAACCAAACCACTTGATCTGGTAATTGTCTAAAAAATATAAATACAAAATAAAATTTTAGAAAATATATATATTGTATAAATTTATATAACATTAAATTGAATGTTTAGTTTATTTATTTAATACTAATTAGAGAAAAAATTTACTATTTTAATAAACAAAAAAAATATTTATTTGTTAATTAAAATTAGCTAAATTTTTCACTAATAAAATATAGTTTAAAATTAATTTTTTTAGGTTTTTTTTTAAAAAAAACCGGTAAATAATTGTATAATAATTTTCGTATAAATTAAATATAGTATTACTGTATATATATTATGTGTAACAATGTTTGCGAACAAAACCAATACATTTAGTCAATCAATAGTAAAGTATTGTGTGTTTTGGATAAAAAACAACGAAAAAAAATGTCCGACAAATTGGCCGCCAATTGTTGTTTACCACCGAAATTGGTGGCCATTGGCGATGACAATCGCGACGATTATGACTATCAATTGGATCAACTGAACAATCGTTTGGCAGAAAACGAGCGGCGAATCGAATTGTTGGACGACTTCCGCCGGTTGGCCGAAGATTATCGACACCAATGTCGCTGTCAGGACGGCTGTGGCGGTATTGCCGACAAAGTCGACCAACTGGTCAATCGGTACAATGCTTTCAGTAAACCTACTATTGCCGACTATTGTCATCACGATATTGCCATCAATGGTATAAACATTAATTGTCTTATTTGTATCATTGATTTGTGATTTTTTTGAAACAATTTGATTGATAGTCAAGACATCCGATCGATCGGATAGAGATATGGCCGCCGCCGCAAACGGTAGCCAATCATCATCGCATATATCGCTAACTATAAAAACAGTTAAAATTGATGGTACAGTAGACAACAACAACAACAGCGGACAATCAATTACTGGCCGACCGGCAGAAAAGCGTTCAAACGACGGCGATAATAATCGGCGGCCAAAAAAACTTCGTAAACTATTACCTAAGTCTGACCCGTATTTGCTGCTATCGGACGAAGACATTGGCTTTAACTTATCGTTTGCTTCGCCGAAATATACACCAAAAAGTAGTCAAAGTAGTAGTGATGGTCAACGCGATCCGTACCGTAAAAGTGTTGGCCGACCGAAGATAAAGTGCTGCGAATGTAACGTATCGTTCAAAACAAACGACAAACTATTAGAGCACATAAAATCTGTTCACGAGTCTGGCCAACACAATGTGTCGGATTGTCCACCGAGGACGACACCGCCGCCGCCGCTGATAAAGACAACCACCGTTGTTGTTGCGGATGACAGTGATGGTGGTGATGGTCGACCAACCAATTCATTCGGATGCGAACACTGTACCGAACAGTTCGGTAGCAATGAAAAACTGTTGGTCCACTTATCGGACAGTCATAGCATCGAATCGTTTGTCTGTCATTTGTGTCCATTCAAGACAATAACAAGAGTGGCGCTAAACGAGCACAAGATTGTCCAGCACAATGTGACCAGAAATTATCGCCGCATCGATATAGATAGTGATTTGGCTTCGGTAGCCAATGATTATGATGACGACGACGACAACGATGACAGTTATGAATATTCGAGTCAATTGTCCAACGATTGGTTGAATCCAAATAACAGCCAAACAAGTGGTCGCTCGTTGTCATTGAAAACTACAAATAATTTGTTTAAGAAAAGTACCGGTATTTGTAATCTAGTGGCTAATAAAACAATTAGTAGACAGGTATTTAACACCAGTTCTATGAGTATAAATATTTCCAATATCAGTAAATATTAACTTACCGGTAATTTTATTAACTCAGTTACCATCAACTGGTCCTATAGTTGAGCCAATTGTTGGACAATACGGTATACGTCGAAGTCATGCCCACCGAAACTTTGGTCAACAATTTGAACAACTAATCAAATCGGAAACATCATCGACTCAGATGTTTGTCTATCACGGCATCGACGATGACATGCGTTGTCCATATTGCGGATGCGAGCCATACACTGAAATTCAATTGGACAGACATATACGTCTGGTGCACAATGAAGTCCAGCCGCAAGTGTGCGATAAGTGTGCCATCAATTTCTATGTAGAGTCGACTTTCCGCAAACATATGCTTGCATTACATTCAAAACAGTAATTGTTTTTTATAATGTTTTTAATTTACCTGTAATTTTTAGTTTCATTTTTGATAATTTGGTTTTTTAAACAATTACCTAAAACATTATACGGTACTATAAATTAATGGTAACTCATCAATAAGTACCGTAATATAAACAATATATACTCATCAATATATATATATATACAGATATTTTTTTATCCATTACAGTAATTATTAATAATTTTTAATTACATTTAATTAATTGCATGCTTAATATAATATTTTTTGTTTTGTTTATTGATTGTAATAATTTTGTTAATTTACCCGTAATCTAATATATACATAATATATCATAATCTCATATTTATTATTACAGTATTATTATTGATTAATTGTATAATCTTTTTATATATATATACTTTTAATTGTACTTAATTTTTGTTTTTTAATGAGAAAAATTTACTATCATTTATATACATTTTTACTTTCATATAAACTGTGTTTACCCAATAAAATGTTGTAATTTTAATCAATTTATTGTGAAACGTGATTATTATTATTATTAATGGTTTAATTAATATATTTGATATTTTTTCAAATCAGTTAATAACAATTCAAATTTTTAAACATTTAGTTTTTTGTTATTGAACTGCAAAAAACAAATAATTTTTTTTATTAACAGTTATATTTGAAATATTGAAATACAATACTGTAGTTGTTATACAATAAATTGATTTTAACCGTTGATATAACAGTCTAATTAAAATAAATATGTGTTGTCTTTATTATATAATCTTATTGTTAACAACTTGTCTAATAACTATTGTCATCGACATCGCCGATGGTTTTATATTCGATGATATTTTTGGTAAGAAAGTCACATTTAGGTCTAATTCAGACGACATCTGCGACGATGGCCTGATTGAGTCGATAACCCAATTGCAGAATCGGACGATCGCTATCTTTCGCCAGCAAATGGTTTGGCTGTTGAGTCCCGATGGCAAACAACTGATCGGTCCGTACAATGAAATCGATTTGTTTGCTTCAGATTTTACTGGTATTATCGAGTCAGCGGTTACCATACAATCGCACGATACGGTTACGGAGTTTGTCGGCACCGGTATCTACATGAATAGTACACATTTTCTGACGTTTAGAAACTTCAAGCCCTATAATATTGAATGGGGTTCACTGATCTATATGCCGCACAGGGGTCTAAAGTCGTCTATAGGTTCGACAAACAACGAAACTGTCGGCGAATTGATGGCCAAAGAGACTATTGCCGCCTATTTTGATCCGTTAGATAAGCGAACAAAGTTTGTCTTTCGCGACTATTCGATACTGGCCTTTCATTTTGAAGTGGGCGTCGATTATGAAAAACCAATGGCCACGAGTGTCTACAAAGAGCTGAAACATTTTGGCCTACAAAATGTAATTAAATTTGAGGCCGCATTCACCAGATTGGCTGCCGGTGCCGACAGCGGCGGCGGCGGCAATAACGGTCATCGTCAACATGAATTGGTTGTATTTGTCGACGACAAGTATTGTGTGATACCGATGGTTAAGACAAATGACAAAGTGTTTGAATGCGATTGGCGGCCGACCAAAGAGTTTCTTCATTGCGACACTTATTCAAGTAAACTGAAGATATCAAATATCAAAGGTACCGGTGCTCTACAAAACAGGCCAAATGACACTATTATCGACAACAATCACTATAGCACTGAACCCGATGCCGACCGAAGTAAATCAAATACTAGTCGTCAACAACCGTGTCTTTACCAGTCATTGTTGTCTACATTCATCATAATTATCTATTTAATTGTTTTACTTAATTTAATTGTATAGTCAATGCATGTTTTTTATGTGTTTGTTATCACAATTAGTATAACAAACAACAAATGTAATTAATTACTGTAAAAATTATATATATAATTTTATATTTAAATTTATCAATTGATTTGTAAATATATTATTAAAATATAATATAATATTAAACTTTTTCATTTTTACATCTATTTAATAATAATATTTACAATATATATCAATATACTGTATATACAGTAAAATATTTACTGTATAATTGACTAATAATTTATTTAGTATATTAAATAATTATTTTATGTGATTTTTACTTATTTTCGAAAAAAAACAGATAATATATTTTTTAACCATTAATTATTAATAATTTTCAATTACATTGATATGATTGTAACAATATATATATATAGTTCAATAATTAGCATCGCACGTGTACAACATTTACAAATAATTTTTATTTAAAGTTAATTAACAGTTATTAATTTGAAATATTGAAATATATAAATACTGTAGTTGTTATGCAATGAATTGATTATAACAGTCTGATTGAGAAAATATGTGTTGTTTTTATTATATAATTTTATTGATAACAACTTGTCTCATAACTATCGCCATCGATATCGCCGATGGTTTTATATTCGATGATATTTTTGTTAATAAAAGCACAGTTAGTTCTGATTCAGTCGACATCTGCGAAGATGGCCTGATTGAGTCGATCACCCAATTGGAGAACCGGAGAATCGTTATCTTTCGCCAGCAAATGGTTTGGCTGTTGAGTCCCGATGGCAAACAACTGGTCGGTCCCTACAATGAAATCGATTTGTTTGCTTCAGAGTTTACTGGTAATATCGAGTCGGCAGTTACCATACAATCGCACGATACGGTTATTGAATTTGTCGGCACCGGTATCTACATGAATAGTACACATTTCCTGGCTTATAAAAACTTCAAGCCCTATAATATTGAATGGGGTTCATTGATTTATATGCCGCACAGGGGTCTTAAGTCGTCCATAGGTTCGACAAACAACGAAGCTGTCGGCAAATTGATGGCCAAAGAGACTATTGCCGCCTATTTTGATCCGTTAGATAAGCGAACAAAGTTTGTCTTTCGCGACTATTCGGTACTGGCCTTTCAGTTTGAAGTGGGCATCGACTTTGAAAAACCGATGGTCACCACTGTCTACAAAGAACTGAAACAGTTTGGCCTACAAAAAGTAATCAAATTTGAGGCCGCATTCACCAGATTGGTTACCGATGACGTCGGCGGCAATAACAGCCGTAATCATCACGAATTGGTTGTATTTGTCGACGACAAGTATTGTGTGATAGAAATGGTTAAGACTAATGACAAAGTAGTTGAATGCAATTGGCGGCCGACCAAAGAGTTTCTTCATTGTGACCATTATTCAGGTAAAATGAAGAAACTCGGCAGTCATTATAGCACTGAACCGAATAAAACAGCAGATGTCGGCAATTCCGATCGTCACCAACTCTGTCTTCACCCGTTGTCGTCCATATTGTTGTCGACAATCATCATAACTATCTATTTAATTAATTAATTAATCTATTGTTTTTACTTAATTTTATAGTCAATTCAAATGTAATTATTAATTATTGTATATATATATAATATTTTTTTTTAAATTTATTAATTGATTTGTGAATACAGTAATATCAAACTTAATAACATATTAAATACTTATATATACATATTATCTATTAATATAAGATTTATATATAAACTATTTACATACAATAATTGTATTGTCAATTATTGACTAATTATTTATTTAAATTAATAGTATATTAAATGATTTGTTTTTTTAATAATTTTACTTACTTTCCAAAAAACCACTAAATTTTAGTATTTAAAAATTATAAGTTAAATAAAATTTTAATAAACCACTAAATAAATTAGATCTTTCAATAAATAATTTACATATTATCTAACAAATGAAACAATTACTAAACATTACAATACTATATAAATTATATTATATAATAGTTTATACGATCCTATTTACAGTATATATATCTAATTACCGGTAAATATAATTAAACTAAAACAGTATTTTAAATACATGTGTTTGACATTTAGAAAATTTTTTTTTTTATTTGTTGTTCACCTGTTTTTGTTGTTGTTGTCATATATTATTAATACATGTGTTTGACATCTAATCTGATAAAATGAATTGAGACTAATTTCTTCGTCGTTTGTTACGACGTACCACAGCATCATCAGCAGTATCTGTTTGGCCATCACTGGTACTACCACTATCATCATCATCTTGTTGTTGTTGTTGAGCTCTTGGACGTCCTCTTCCACGAGGCGCCACACCTGCTTCGAGAGGATCGCCCAGCAGTACATTCTGTGGCCACGCATCCAGACATCTCAGTTGATCCATTACGACGCCCTGTTGGGGACTGTCGGGTACGAGTACACTGAATCGATAAATTTTTCTAAGATTTTTCACTGCCCTATACTTGACTATCAATGCATTTCTGGTGGCTTCTAACCAATCTCTTTGGTCTAACAATTGATCTCTTAGCTGATCTCTGGCTTCTGGATCCAAACCGTTGGCAAACTGTTGCGTTGCCAGTAGATAGGCTGAAAATCCGGCCAAATCGGTAGACCAGGTATGAAAGACATTCATAATATCCCATTCATCGAACCATTGGCACAGTTGCGCACCCATAACACGGCTAATAAACAACAGGCGTTCTTCAGGATTTCCATTCATATCTTGCCTTTGTAATGTCATTGCCTGCCAGCCATTGCAACCGATTTCACGATTAGCACCGTTCCTACCGTGACTGTAGACTGGTATCAAATTACCCGGACTGTCCGGATCGTCCCGATAAACCAATAGTCTGGCTGCATTTTCATTGCGCACCAAATAATACGGTACGTGCGTAAAGTCTGGATTCAAGTCGACATACGTAAACCGATTGGACACCAATCGGATACGGTTGACCTCATTGAACACCTGTACATTGAACACGTTGTGAACATTTTGGTAATGTATGTCTACCTGATGAAGACCCGGTTCCAATGTTATCGTGTGTTCAAATCTTGAGAAGCGATCAGTGAGCAAACCGACCCAATCGATGGCAAACATATCGTCCTGACTATGATCTATACTGTCCCTAATCATCTGTAAAAATATTAAACTGTTCATATTGACGGCCATAGCGTGTTCAACGTTTTGTACTTCTAGTAGATCCATAGCCACCGGCGGTAGAGCTTGATTGGCAAATGCACGCGGATTGTAGACAATTGCCATTTCGTAGATAAACTCTAGAAGTTTTAGGATTTCAATAACATAAATAATGTCAAGCATAATACGATAATACAGATTGAATACCTGATCCATGGCTGGATTGTCGATCTCGAAACCGGATAATAGGATTCCTATTTCGACGAGTCGTTGTGCGGCGTCGACAACATTTTGTATGTCATTATCGCGATTAATCATATCCCTGATGGCCTGAGCCGTTGCCTCGTCAATCACATATAGTCTTTCTTCGCCATCCTTATCGACGGCTCCCGCCTGAGGACCGCCGCGGCCTAAGAAACCGTACGTATGAACTGCACGCCACGGCCGGCCCGGCGGACCGGTCATACGTTTTTCAACGGCCAAACAATTTTGTCTGTTTCCATGTCGAACACGTTGGACACCGAACTGCATGCCCTCTATCCGTACGTATCGTATTTGACCTGACAATTGAATGGGCGGGACATTGATTTGCTGGCCTGCAATGGTTAGTACCTGTCCCTCTAAATTGGCTAAATTGATAAACTGTCGATGATTTACATTTTCTTCTATATGTATCACCCCTTGAGGTATGTCCTGATTGATTAGATTCAGTTGATTAATCAGATCATTGATCACTTGATCCATTATATGACTTGTGATTTGTTCACTATATTTGGTGCAGAGGATTATCAACTGATTTTTGTTTAATTGTTTAGTTGTCTAATAATTTTGTTTGATTTTAAAATTATTTTCAAAATTTTGTGTTTTAAATTAAATTTAGTCAATTTTTTTAAGGCTTAAATCTATATTATAGACAGCCAGCAAACAAAAGTATTGTTTTTATGTAGTTATACATACAGTATATAAAATGTTAGTTTTATTAGTTAATTATTATTTGGTTTGGGGGCAAATAATTTTCTACTGGCTGTCTATAATATACATTTGTATCCAGTATTTATATCTAATTTTAATAATTAAGTAAAAGTCTATAATTTTAAATACATTTTTGACATTTTAGTTATTTAAAAAAAAAATTTGTTGTTCACCTGTTTTGTTGTTGTTGTTGTTGTTGTTGTTGGCATATATTAATACTTTGTGTTTGATCTGATCTAATCTGGTCAAAGAGGATCGCCCAGCAGTACATTCTGAGGCCATGCATCCAGACATCTCAGTTGATCCGTTACGACGACTTGTCGGGGACTGTCGGGTACGAGTACACTGAATCGATAAAGTCTTCTAAGATCTTCCAATGCCCTATACTTGGCTATCATATCGTTCAATGTATTTAGTAACCAATCTCTTTGGACTACCAATCGATTTCTTAGCTGATCTCTGTCTTCTGGATCCAAACCGTTAGAAAACTCTTGCATTGCTACAAGAAAAGATGAAAACCCGGCCAAATCGGCAAACCAGTTACGATAGACAGTCATAATATCCCATTCATCGAACCATTGGCACAGTTGGGCACCCATAGCACGGCTAACAAACCACAGGCGTTCTTCAGGATTATCATCATTTCCATGCCATTCGTTTCGTAATGTCATTGCCTGCCAGCCATTGCAACCGATTTCCCGATTAGCACCGTTCTTACCGTGACTGTAGACTGGTATCAAATTACCCGGACTGTCCGGATCGTCCCGATAAACCAATAGTCTGGCGTCGTTTTCATTGCGTATCAAATAATACGGTACGTGCGTAAAGTCTGGATTCAAGTCGACATACGTGAACCGATTGGACTCCAATATGATACGGTTGTCCTCAGTGATCACCTGTACATTAAACACGTTGTGAACATTTTGGTAATGTATGTCTACCTGATGAAGGCCCGGTTCCAATGGTATCGAGTGTTCAAATAAGAAAAAGCTATTAGCAGCCAACCCGACCCAATCCGTAGTAAACATGTTGTGCACGTTTTGCTCCACACTGTTCCTAATATATTGTAATAGATGTAAAATAGCCATATCGACGGCCATAGCGTGTTCAACGTTTTGTACTTCTAGTAGATCCATAGCCACCGGCGGTAG